TCTTGCATCAACGAAATCCCGCTATTGATCCGAAGAGTTATTCCATATGAGATATTTCATAAATATTCCATGGCAATCGAAAAAGCCGAATGGTTGCCAGCGCGTACTATCATTCCGAAACGAGTATTCGAGTTCCGACCTCACCGACATCCAAAATTATAGAAAATGGTTTTTGTCGCATCTCAAAGATGTCAAGATATCCGAGTGTACTCACGTGAAATAAAATCTCCTTAAACCATAAGCTCTCCATTTATTGGTAAGTCATCACGATGCACACCACAAATGGAAGGAAGAGCTCGGCCGAAAATCCCTTTAGCCGTTAATAAGCGCCAATCTAATATGTTTACATATATCATACTATACAAATTTACCTATGTAAATAACACTCAGCACTTCCCAGTAATAAAATGAAAAATCCCAAATCCCAGGAATCACTCAAAAATCAAGACCAGATATCTAATGTCCGGTTTGATGCGAATTCAGGTTACCCTACATTTGTATTCAATGTATGCTTTTGCAGACATTTTAGGTTTCGCATTTATTAGGGTCGACACAATTTTATACAAACATAGATGATAATTTTGAAAAAATATAAATATATATATAAACTCAACCCAGGAGAGTCTAAGCCCAGTGACTTGTACAGAAGTGGACAAAGAATTTGAGACCGAATTCAATACATTTTGCAGAAACGGACTAGTATTCTTAAAAACCAATCATAATTTGAGATGATTCATTAATTTTGTATATGAAAAGTATCCATACTCGGACGTTGAAATTCTGATTTGCACATCATAAAATTTGCTTTAATTAATTTCCTTCGAAGAAGCATATTATGAGGCTTATACTCGTATTGTTCACGTATAGTATATATACTCGCATACTTATGCATTTCTTACCACAAATACATATTCACATATAGATGTACATATATCCACCATTGATTTGCTTAGGTTAGCTTGATTTTGGGACCAAATACTAAATGAGGGTTGAGAATTTGCTTTTTGCAATTGCATTTGCAATTGGACAAGGTGATTTACATACATATGTATGTATGTATGTATGTATGTATGTATGTATGTATGTATGTCTGTAAATAGAGGACTCACTTGCATTGTAACTGAAAATTTGCCATAAGGGTAAAAACAGATTTCCTGAACATTATTCACTTGAAGTTGTTGTTGCGAAAAACAATTGCCACCATACCAAAAAATTTCAGACAAAACAACAAAACAAAACAAAAATATGGTTCTTAGAAAATTTTAATAAGCTGTCGCGACTGGCTTTGTACTCATGACTTTGTTTTCTTTAATTTTTTTTTTTTTTTTTTGCAAAAAAAACACCTTTTCTATTCAGCTCGGACCTGTACTTGATTATGACTTTGATGGCAGAGTTTTAATTTTTATCACGTGACCTCATTTGAGTATGTTTAAACGGTCAGACGTGGTAAGCATGAAAGTACCAAAGGAACGGTCTATTGTTAAATTTTTCTGAGTTATCTTGTAATGAAAGCTTTGCTGTTGAGCAGTAAAAAAATACGAAATTTTTTAAATATTTCACTCTGACTGCAACAGTTTTTTGGTTTAAAGAACAAAATAAATTAAATACAATAACGAAAATTTAAATAAAATTAAATAACACAAAATCGACACATAAAAAAACAAAAAAAAAAATAAATTAATATATAACAATATAAAATAAATAAACTGAATATATTAAATTGAAATTTAATGAATTTTTATTTATACTAACCTCGAGCCGACAAACAATTTCAGTTAAAAATAAAAGAAAGGTCGCCAAAACCATTAAAATAAAAGAAACATTTAAAATATACCCTATAAAATAAAATAAATACTCGTATAATATTGTTCGTATAGTTCATGCCCGATTTCAAGTGCAAACTAAAATTGAAATTTTTTGAAGAAAGCGCTTTTATTAATCAATTATGTATATCATGTTCGGCAATCCACTCCCAACGTTCAACCAATTTACGGATGCCTGATTCATAGAAATCGCGCGGTTTCTCGTTGAAAAGGTGTCAAGGTGGTTTTTGACGTCTTCCACATTTTGAAATTTTTTTCCATTCAAATTGTTCTGCAGCGATCGAAACAAATGATAATCAGAAGGTGCAATGTCGGGTGAATATGGGGGATGCGGCATGATTTCCCAATTCATCTCCTTCAATTTGGCCAGGGTCGGTTTTGCAACATGTGGCCTGGCGTTGTCATGATGGAAAAGAACTCCTTTGCGATTGTCCAAAATCGGACGTTTTTCATCAATTGCTTTCGGATATCCCACCAAATTTACAGTTCGGACTATCACCTTTCCAATGATATATAATATGTATATATTTCTTTTACGAGCGCCACTCTCAAACGATTCGAACGGCATCCAGCGGAATCGGGCACGAACTTATGCACTCATCCAATAATCAGCTCCCGATATAGCGTAGCAAGATCAAATCGGAGATTGACGCAGTAGTAGAGAAAATTACACACAGCGTAATTGGCATTTGTAGAAGCTTCTCCTCTACGCAAAGGCAACTCTATTCTAGGTAAAGCTTTAGTTGACAGCTGTGCTATATCATCATCCTTCCTTCGAAGTATTGGAAAAATGGATTGCTTCATGGATAACGTCAAAAGAGGACTCCTTTTTTTCGAGCCGGCATCCGAAAATTGCCGGAAAGATGGGAGAAAGTTGTCGCTAACGAAGGACAATACTTTGAATAATATATCTGTAAGCACTCTTTCGCAAAAAAGCTTTTAATTTTGGAGAAAAACGGCGGAAGCAAAGTTGTACACCTGATAAAAACATAAGAAGGAACTGTAGAAGGTCTTTCACAAAAGCCAAACGCTTTAATATCGATAAATGCTGCGATTTCAGAAGTATAAATTCGTGATACCTCTTCTTCGAACAGGTTGGTAGCGTCAGACTCTCAGAGGTAATATGAAAGCAGCGCCAGTGAATTTGGAATACCTGCATATAATTTAAGGCGGGAGGCGAACCCATGGAAAACATATTTATATATTAGGTATAGTAAAAAGAAATACATTATATGTCCAATAGATGCCATTATTTATCTGTATCTCGCGATGATCGTGATCCGCTAGATAGCGTTAGAAAGATGACATTTCGTACTAAAAAAGCTTCTCTGACAGTTTTGTGATTGGTTGATTCAGTTTTGTTTGAGCGTGCATCAAAGATGGATATTAGCAAAGAGGAAATAAGCTAAATTTTGCAGTTTTTCTTCAATGAGGGTGAAACGCAAGCCAGGCGGCTGAAAATGTGTATAGCGTTTATGGTCCTGATACTGATACAGTGAACCATTTAATTTTATGAAAAAATAATGGATTTCTTTTTACTATACCTAATATTTATATAGCTATCGCTTTGCAACCACTGAAGCGATTTCCGGCCGAGCTTATGAGGAGCTTTTTATTTCAGAAATACATTCGCAGGGCTTGACATTCCCTGTCGAAGGGTTACTGCAATCAGAAAATTAAACTAAATTTTTGTTTTAAACTAATTTTCGCTAAGTGTTGGATGTTGGTCGTGCCAGGATATAAGTCCGGGCCTTCCGAGTGACAGTACGCGAAGCTAACCTCTCGGCTACCGCGGCCGCCATATTTATACTGTTGGGTGCAAAGGCGAAGCAATTACAGGATTAGGGTTCACCTGTGACCACTCCAATAACAATTAAGTGGCAATTGCATTATTATTGTATCAACACAAAGTCCAAAATGCATAAGAACATGCAAAGTGGCAATAAACAGGCTATCATGGGAAAATACAGTGAATATCACTTGGGCCTCGGTTCACACGTACATATGTAGAAGACAATGAAAGGCGGTTGAGCTGGTTCGGGCTGATGCTGCGTGTGTCAGACCTTTCGGCACATTTAACTGTTGCCTGAAACAATGGACCACGGAGGAACACTTAAGATCCTTCAACACTTTCACTGCAGGACATAACACCAAACTATGGCAGGGCAAACTGTGAACTGTAGTCATACCAAACTGTTACTAACTTTTTAGCAAACGAAAACATCAAAATTCTTGTGGGGATATCATCTCCACAAGTTAGTTTAAGCTTTATCGGCTTAGTGCAGAGCATGCACAGAAGATGACGAAATACTGGAACGCTACCTTTGGGAGTGTCCGGTCTTTGGTCGATTGAAACGTCACATCTTTCACAGTGCCGCCAGATCCACGGAGGTGGGGACACATGGTTGGAAGAAATTAAATAAGTTTATCAAAATCGAGTCAACTATTCGTAAAAGTACAGTTAAGTTATGCGGGGAGAATGAATAACATATTGTATAATGAAATTAAATGAAATAAAGTAAAATGAAATAAAGTAAAATAAAATAAATTAAAATGAAAAAAAATTAGTTAAAAAAAGATAAAGAGAATAAAGTAATGAAATTTGAGACTCTAATAAATATTAAGAATGTATGTACTCTTGTTCATATTTTAACTGTCTTTTAAACCTTATTGAAGAAGGTATAACCTTAAATCGCTTATCAATATTTTTAAGTTATATATGAGATATAACTTAATTATTATTCCCAGTAGGGAATAAACATAAAATTGGTTGCAAAAATACTCACTTAAACTCACTTAAACTACCATTAATTTTTAATTGACTTCAAACCATTTATTCAAAAAAATTTCATATTGAAATTATAATTTTTTTTATTCAAAAATATTAATCCCTTTTGTCCTATGCAAATAAGGTTCAGTTTTCTAATTAGTTCAGCTAATTAAAGGACTAAATAAAAGCTATGAGTTGGTTTGTTATTAAAAATAATAAAATATTTTAGTATATTGGTTTTTTTGATTGCTTAAGCTAGTCCCGTGCGACATAAAGGGAATAAAAATACCCTTGCAACTGCGAGATTAGCCTATCAAGAGAATTATTATGTTATGCGAAGACAATTAAATGTGATTTCTTTTAAAACTTTTATTTATTTTATTTTCTTGCTTAATCTTTCTTTCCAGGATTATGCCATGTAACTTGTTCTTATAGTATTTGTAATATGAAGATCAAACGCTATGCAGTGTTCGTGACTACAAATCAGCCCATGTCCTTATGGACAATTCTATTAATTTGGTTTTGCCTATTGCAACCAACTTATTTAAAAACAGATGTGCGTGAGCCAATAGAACAACAACAACAACAACAACAACAACAACAACATCAACAACAACAAACACAACATCAGCGAACACATCATCATCAGAGAAGTGAGGCGACGACATCACTGCATGCCTCCGCAAATTATATCACATTAAATAAGTACAAATTCCGACACAAATTATACAATGCCACAATACCCGAGAATAGTGTGGGCAAAACATATGCGATACCATTGGCGCATGAAGACATTATGGGTATTGCCATTATACCGGGTGCTGAGGTTAAATATCGCATCGTAGCAGGAGATCGTGATAAGCTATTTAAAGCTGAGGAGCGTTTAGTCGATGACATTGCATTTTTAGCGATACGCACAAGAACAAGCAATGTTGTGCTAAATCGAGAGAAGAATGAGGAATATTTGTTAAAAGTACGAGCAATGATCAAATATAATCTGGGTGATGATTATATGGGTGATGAGACGGAAACAACTGTACATATACGTGTGTTGGATCGTAACGATTTAAGTCCGCTCTTCTATCCAATTGAATATTCACAAATCGTACCGGAAGATATGCCAATACATAGGAGTATCTTACGTGTTACAGCCGAAGATGCTGATTTGGGTATTAATGGTGAAATATACTATAGTTTTCTTATCGACAATGAATACTTTTCGATACATCCCACGACTGGAGTAATAATATTAAATAGGCAGCTAAGATATACAGATAGTTCACATTATAATTTAACAGTGCTCGCGAACGATCGCGGCTCTGCCATTAATCATTATAGCCATCAATCGAGTAAGGCGAAGGTCTCCATAACAGTAGAACAAGTAAGTAATTGTTTAGTACATACTCACATACATATAATATAGTTAATAAATAGTTTGAACTCTTTACGACTTAAATCATTTGTGAAAGTACTCAAAGAATAAAAACTAAAATTTACTTAGGTCTTCAACTATACCAAGAACTGTCCTAGACTCAGCGGTGTGAGTAAGGGAAACCTACAAGAACAAGAACTTCCCTCCAGAATTTATCCATTGTGAGGCATATCTGAAATCCAATCGTTCTCTTGACACAAGTCTCTTTGCAACCGCAACGACCCGGACTTTTAAGCGTCTAAGATTTGGGACTCCCTCAAGAACTAATTTGAAAAATAATTTTGTTGTTATAGTAACAACAAGATGCCGGGCCAACACCCAAAATTATAAAAAATTAATTTAAAAGTTTGCCAATTACCGGAATCGGCCAAATCGGACTTCAATTGGATATATACAACCGGTTTGTTCAGATATGAGGTTTTGGGTTAAAAAGGTTCTAGGCATAGCTGACTGTATTGTATACCTCCTTCGAACACATTTTCCAAGAGGGCCAAGCTCCTCCTCCAATTTGTGGCATTCGCCTCTTGATGTTTTTCCAAAGAAAGATCCTACAGTTTATTCTAATTTAATATTGTGTTCTTATACTATATTTGGCATCTTTTATTTTGACTTTTTTTATTTTGTTTTATTTTATTTCCATTTCTCTTATATTGTTTAATTTTTTATTTGATTTTATTTTATTGGATTTTTTATTATTTTATTTTATATTACTTCATTTTGTTTTTTTTTGTTCCTTGTTATTTTTTTTAATTTTTTTTTCTTTACTCCATTCTATATTTCTTTATTAATTTTATTTTTTTGTTATTATTATTATTATTTTCATTTATTACAACTTTTTATTTGCGATCTGTCTTTCGAACATTTAACAAATATATATTGCAATATATATATAATTAAATTATATTTACTATATGTTTACTTATTCATATTTGTATATATATTCCCCCACTTTCAGGTTAATTTACACACTCCAGAAATATATTTTAAGACTTTTTCAAGTATAACCTCGAATTTTAGTTCGAATATTTATGGCATAGTTAAGGTCAGTGACAACGATACCGGCAAACATGGTGAAATAAATAAATTACAAATCGTTGATGGTGATCCTGATGGAAATTTCATTATAACACCCACACATAATGTCGGTGAATATTTTATTGAAATAAATAAATTTGCGAAACTAAACGATTCGATAAAATATAACCTAACATTACGTGCCGAGGATAAAGGTGTGCCCATGCGGCATTGCTACAAAACCATTCCAGTTCACTTCATTAAGGAACGTAACAACGCACCAGTATTCACCAAGCATTTATATGAAATCTCAATACCCGAAACATCACCACCCAATATGCCAGTTATTAGACTGAAAGTAACCGATCCCGATTTGGGTAAGAATGCGATGGTCTATTTAGAAATCGTTGGTGGCAATGAGGGTGGTGAATTTAGAATAAATCCTGATTCCGGCATGTTGTACACACAAAAACCACTCGACGCCGAAAGTAAATCTTTCTACACACTCACTGTCTCCGCAATCGATCAGGCTAATCTTGGCTTCCGTAAGCAATCATCGGCAAAGGTGAAAGTTAACATACAGGATATGAATGATAATGATCCGTTATTCGAGTCGATGAACACCACTATTGAATTGGATGAGAATGAAATGGCCGGCACTTTTGTGGTGAAATTGACGGCGCGTGATAAGGACAGTGGCGAGAATGCATACATATCATATAGTATAGCTAATCTAAACGAGGTACCCTTTGAAATAGATCATTTTACGGGGGAACTCAGAACAACTACTTTAATCGATTACGAAACCATGCGACGTACATACGTGCTCAGCATACGCGCCTCCGATTGGGGTTTACCGTATCGCCGACAAACAGAGTTAGAGCTTTTAATCAAAATTAAAGATATCAACGATAATCGACCACAATTTGAACGTATCAATTGTGTGGGCAAAGTCATGCGAAGTATACCCGTCGGTACGGAAATATTTACACTTTCAGCTATCGATTTCGATGCTGGTGATTTCATAGCCTATCGACTTATAGCTGGTAATGAAGATGGTTGCTTTAATTTAGACCCCACTACAGGTGTACTGTCGATAGGTTGTGATTTAACTGAAGTTCCAGCTACAATCCGCTACGTCAATGTGTCTTCTACGGATGGCACACATTTCTCAGACGAAATGAATATGGCTATAGAAATTGTGGGTGATGAGAGAAGTGTATTCATGGATCATATCGATATGTTTAACGGCTATGGTAGTTTTGAGTGTCGTGAAACGGGTGTTTCTCGGCGGCTAGCAGAGAACTTGGCCGCAGCGGAACGTAATAATGCCAATGTACATGAGAAAACCTTCATAAATGATTTGGGTTTAACGCCAAGTCGCTATGGTGAGAATATACATGCGCCGGAATTTATAGACTTCCCACGAGAATTACGACTGAATGAGAGTATTGAATTGGGTGAGACTGTTATGTGGATAAAAGCCAGAGACCGTGATTTGGGTTATAATGGCAAATTAGTGTATGCTATTTCGGATGGCGATAACGATTCGGTTTTTCGCATTGATCCCGACAGTGGTGAATTGCAAATAATTGGCTATCTCGATCGGGAGCGTCAAGATGAATACGTATTGAATGTTACCGTTTACGATCTGGGTCAACCACAAAAGTCGCAATCGAAATTGTTACCCGTTTTCATACTCGATAGCAATGATAATCGTCCAGTTTTCCAAAAATCACTAGCAACTTTTCAACTGCCAGAGAATGCTTTCAATGGCACATTGATATTTTGCTTAAATGCGTCTGATGCTGATATAGAGGATAATGCTAAAATCATCTACTTAATGCAAACGGATACCAGAGACTTTTTCGTCAATATCACTACTGGCTGCATATATTTGGGTAATGCCTTAGATCGAGAAAAGCTGGATAAATACGAATTGCATATTATTGCCAAGGATAACGGTGAACCAGCGCTTACAGCTGAGGCTGTGATAAACATCTTGGTTGAGGACATCAATGACAATGCGCCCATATTCGGGGTACAGGAATTCATATTCAAGGTGCGTGAGGATATACCGCGTGGCACTGTGGTGGCATCAATCGAAGCCACTGATATTGATATTGGGCCAAATGGTGAAATATTTTTCTCCATAAAAGAAGAGCTGGCTACTGAAGAACTATTCAAAATTGACAAGCACACGGGCGTTATAAGAACTTTGGGTTATTTGGACTACGAGAAGCGACAAGTACATAATTTGATAGTTAGCGCTATCGATCGTGGCTCGCCGTCGTTAACGACAGACATGCCGGTTGTGATCGAAGTCATCGATGTGAATGAAAATCGCTTTGCGCCAGAGTTCGGGGACTTCGTTTATGTGGGTAAAGTGCAGGAGAATTTACCTACACGAAGTTTTGTTATGAATTTGACTGCGCGAGATGCCGACACAAACGGACCGGATTCGAAGATTTCCTATAGTATACGAGGCGGGGATGGTCTGGGTGTGTTTGCCGTGAATGATGAAGGTTAGTTGGGGCTTGTGATATGTTGTTATTATCTATTTTTAGTTAAAAAAAAAGAAAAGAAAATCTTCTATGCTTCTCTATATTCTTACTTCATTTAAAGGTGTTATACGTACTCTATCCCATTTGGATGCTGAAACGAAATCCAGTTATTGGCTAACGCTTTGCGCACAGGATCATGCCATCATACCGTTAAGCAGTTGTGTACAGGTAATTTTTGGCACTTTTTTACTTTTACTACTAGCCTAGTTATTTTTGTAATTCTTTTCACCATTCGGCGCCAATTGGCAATTCTAAATGAAGCCCGGTTTTTCTCACCTGATCTTTCCAACGGCGGATACTACATCGAGAGCTTTCAGGAGCTGAAGTGTTCTTACCCATACATAGCCAGCGTAGTCATATGTAGTCGGATATCGGATATCTTATACAGCTGATCGCTCCACTGCCTACAGTGTTTTGTGTTCGCTGAAAAAGGCTGTATTCGCTAAATTCCTTTCACCGGCTTCTATCAAATAAGTCAAAAAGTTTAGGCGTTTGTTTCGAAGCTTAAAGTATTATTGGTGTGTATGTTGACCTTTAGAATTATAGATATATCTACGACCTCAAATTTAAATATTACTGTCAACAGTGACGCGGTGGGTCAAACGCGTTTGCGTTGACCATTTTGTTAGATTACGGGAGATGTTTCCTCTTTCCCAACCAGTTTGGTACAAAACTAACAGTGCGGTTATTGAAGCTGTTAATGTCAATATCATCGACAAAGACCAAAAGTTGTATTCCCTTACAGTAGATTGAATCTATTGGATGAGTGCATAAGTTCGTGCCCGATTTCAAGTTCAAACTAAAATTGAAATTTTTTGAAGAAAGCGCTTTTATTAATCAATTATGTATTCGCCATCATATTCGGCAATCCACTCCCAACGTTCAACCAATTTACGGATGCCTGATTCATAGAAATTGCGCGGTATCTCGTTGAAAAAGGTGTCAAGGTGGTTTTTGACGTCTTCCACATTTTGAAATTTTTTTCCATTCAAATTGTTCTGCAGCGATCGAAACAAATGATAATCAGAAGGTGCAATGTCGGGTGAATATGGGGGATGCGGCATGATTTCCCAATTCATCTCCTCAGTTTGGCCAGGGTTGGTTTTGCAACATGTGGCCTGGCGTTGTCATGATGGAAAAGAACTCCTTTGCGATTGGCCAAAATCGGACGTTTTTCATCAATTGCTTTCTTCAATTCGACCAATTGCTGACAATACTTGTTGGCAGTGATCGTTTCTCCAGCTGGCAAGAGCTCAAAATAGAGCACGCCTCGGATATCCCACCAAATTTACAGTTCGGACTGTCACCTTTCCAACAATATATAATATGTATATATTTCTTTCACGAGCGCCATTCTCAAACGATTCGAACGGCATCCAGCGGAATCGGGCACGAACTTATGCACATCCAATACATACAATTCTGTTTAGTTTTTCAGATCGCCTTATAAAGGTCTTTGAGTTCATTGGCATTGAGTTTAACTTTTCAAAGAAACACGCTCGAAAAGACCTTATTTGCAATATCGATGAGTCTTATAGCTCGACTAATGGCGCAGATTGTGCGGTCTCCATTTTAGGTACAAATCGGCGGGTATGCTTCCATCTGAAGAAACTCATGCATGCATCTCATCAATTCATCGCCGCCGTACTTGAATATCTCGACCGGCGATCCACCGGCCTACCTTGTAGTGTGGTTTTTCAAGCGTACTTCTTCTTAGTCGGGCAATGAAACTCTGTTCCGGTCTTGAAGCGTTCTGTAAATTGCCTCTTCTTTTTGAAAAAATATCGAGCATTAATCCTTTGGCCAGTAGAAAACCGTTCGAATGTCTGTTGTGCTAGCAGCTTTCGGCCGAATTTTTTACGATCGTTCTTTGCCGCACAGTTCATAGAGTCTATGTTAAGTCCTTGGAGCGTACGCACGTCAAAAGCATTGGATACATGTCATCTGTCTCTCACAAAATGATCGATCTGGTTGTAAATTTTTTCAATGCGGAGACAACCAGTAGCTTGATGAAGTTTCTTGTGCTAGAATATAGTATTACAGACAAACATATTCGGGTCAGACGATGTCGATCTGGTTCAACCTATTTGGAGTTGTATCGTCATGGACTGTTGTTTGACATCGAGGCAGGTGCTCATAAAATTGTCTTATATTTAATATTATATATATGTATGTATTCTCATGTCCTGAGTATTTGCGCATCAATACAAAGTACCGGTTTATTTAATATTGTAATAATTTATGTTTACTTTTATACACACAGGTTAACATACAAGTGGAAGATGAAAATGACAACGTGCCTTTAACCGATAAACCCGTCTATTATGTCTCTGTCATGGAAGGTAGTCCAGAAAATACGCCCGTTATACAATTAAATGCATTCGACAACGATAAAAATCCTGCACAGTTCTTTACCTATCGGATAATTTCGGGAAATCCGGAGGGATTCTTTGAACTTAACTCAACCACAGGTAAATTATTATTATTATTATATTTTTTTTTTTAAACTCAAGTTGGTATTTATATATTCATTATTTTCTCATGCAGGTGATTTGATAACGACAGAACGGAAATTGGATCGTGAAAACCAAGCAGAGCATATTTTAGAGGTAATTTAAAGATACTAAACCGAATCTTAATTATCCTCCAATTTTTGGGGCAGACGACGTCCTATGGGGTATTAGCTTTATACTACTGTAGTAAGACCCATACTAACATATGGAGCATTAGTGTGGTATAGTAATCGTAATTAGGACTACCTCGGACCTAAAAGTCATGCTTAACATCAGGTCACTTAATATACAAGCGATGTATGAAGCAGCTCTAACAGCTAGTCCCGAATTTTTTCAAGAAAAATGGGTTCAGCCCTCCAATTGTAAAATTTGACCGAGAAAAGGAAACCTTTTGCCGGCTAGGTGCCAAGTACTCCTTCCCTAACTGGGAAAAAAGAGTAGAAGAGAAGGACTCTTCTGCTACCACCCCAATAAACAAGGTAGCTTCAAACTCAATGACTACACTTTATTTTCCAAGCAGAGATTTTAGGACATAGAGAGGGCAATTAACAGGCTATCGCTGAAAAGTGAAAGCGAATATTACTAGGGTACCGGGTCACACGGATGTAGAAAACATTGAAAAAGTGGATAAGCTGGTTTACGCTGGTGCCACTGGCGATATTGTCGACATCCTCAGCCCATGCAGAGGCTTCAAAAGTTGTCTAAAACAATGGATTATGGAGGAATACTTATGGCAGCTTCCAGCTTGGGACGTACTACCAAATTATTGTAGTCATACACAAATTGTTACTAACTTTAAGAAAACGAGGACTTATTATTATTGAGTGTGTATTGTGATGGGGCATCTACTCCTAAGATATCATCTCCACAAGCTAGGTAAATGGTATCTGCAAAGCCGATTCGAGATGTTATATCCTTCACAAAGCCCATTCTATGACTTAGGTCCTCAACCCGCCCGTTCAACTAATGAACCAAGCAAACTTACAAAAATAAATTATGCTTAATATAAAACTTTTTCTATTGTAGATTTCCATTTCTGATAACGGTATCCCAGCACTAACTTCAACAACGCGTGTCGTTGTTTCAGTGGAGGATATAAACGATCATAGCCCGGAATTCGACCAACGATTCTATAAAATTCAAGTGCCATCGACGGTGGATATAAACGAAACAGTTTTCCAGGTACATACATATCCCCTCTATTATCTGTGGTATAAGTTATTAAAATACATACGTGCATGTACATACATACAAATATATTCTTTCTTTATTTAGGCTCGTGCTATGGACAATGACATTGGCGAGAATGGTCGCATCACTTATTACATCAAATCTGGTAAAGGCAAAAATCGTTTTCGCATGGATCCCGATACGGGTTTCATTTACCTGATGAAGCCATTGGAAATCGATGCTGAATATGATTTAAATATACGTGCTGAAGATAATGGAAACCCAAAACGTAGTCAAAATGCCAAGTTGAATATAGTTGTCATTCCGATTTCGACGAACTCGCCGCATGCACCCGTAATAAAAGCTGACGACAGTCGCATTGATGTGACGGAAAGCGATCGGCCAGGTTTTTTGGTAGCACTAGTACAGGCGACAGATGAGGACAACGATCATCTGTGGTATAACTTAACGGGTGAGTTTTTTATTTGGTGTTTCTATTTAAATTGAAAGGAGTTTTATATGTATGACCAGTGTCAACTGGCTCTGCTGATAAGATGCTTGTACTATAGTATTTATCATAGGACTTTCTATAAGAATTATTGTCTAGAAACTCGCCCAGCCGAGAAAACTTTATATATTTTGTACTCCTTTTTCATATTCAATAAGTTTTCGCAATTTATACTAAGCTTGGTTTTAATCATTCCACCCTGAATCATATTTTTATGATACTTTTTGGTAAGGTGAAAAGAACACTTCGAGAGTTACATGTAGGTAGGCGAGACAAATCAATTTAAAGCTAAATGCGTTTTACAAAAAAACGTTACCTGGACGCGTTAACTAGTGTGAACCGAAGAACTAAAAAGACTAATCATGAACAGTAAGCTGCTTTAGAGGAAAACTAGCTACTCTCTTTACGCATATAGGAAGATGTTAAGCACTACGAGCGGCCTATCGACTGGGACCATGTGTGAGTCTAAACTTGAAGTGCTTAATAAGACACTCGAAAGCTGATATGTTTCCTTGCCTTACCGTAGCATCAGAAACCGGTGAAATACGACAGTTCCTAAGTGTAAGCTTGGCTTAAAAAATACTAAGATCACTCCCCCGCTTCACAATTATTGAAAAGCCACAGCGTTCAATCAATTTTTTACCCAGAGCTCACCACCACCTAGTTAAACCTAATACATTCATAAGGTTAAAAGAGGAATAGTCATCCCTCACCACCTCAAATTTTTCCTATGAAATTCTGCTCAAAACTCTTTTAAAAGCCATTGGGCTCGATAAGATCACTCAAGGGAGCCATTTAACATCATATTTCAGTATTCTAATTATCATCTCCTTCCTACCCCCAAGTTTTGAAATCTCTTACCCAAAAAACATTGGAGATTAAACACAGGTTCTCTTCACTACGACTTCCGTCGACTGCAATGGCAAGGTAACCCAAACCGCCAATTTACATTGCGCTGGAAAGCATCGCAATGGTAAACACTGTGAGATTAGTGGATTCAGGCGAAATCCCTGCCAAAACCTTCGAGCAAAGCTCAAAAAGCAAGGGAGTGGTACTCAGAAATAGTTATATACCACGGCGCTTTGTATGGAATGCATGAAAACTAAAAAATTGTGACTGGCGCAAAAACGCTACCGCTAGAGCAATTTTCCACCGAGCTCCTTCTCCAAGTTGCGTTGAATGTCTTCATTAAAGGGAAGACTTACACTACAGTCTAGGCCACCTCTCTACGACGCTGATGGATTATTATGAAGAGTTTCTAATCCGTGTCGCAAATACATCAGAGGTTTACTTCTGGGGGAAGTTCTTTGCAGTATTAAAGGTGATTTAGTTTACGAACACCAGAGGAAACAGCATTAACAACATCAGCAAATACCTTGATGGGTAGGCGAAAATCATATTACGTTAGAAAGTATATATATTTAGAAGCAGCGAATCACTGAATAGGTTGACTGCCAGTTGACTGGTTGAACCCCAGAACACATGGGCATTGTGTAGAACGAATTAGTTGATGAAAATCCCAAGCATGTACCGCGCGTTTGATATGAAAACAGGAAAACAGATGTTAGCTTAATGACCTACAAGATCGCCAAGATCAAGTTTTACAGCAGCGTTTATCCACATTTTAGGTTAATGAGTCTGGAAGAAAAATCTAGACAGTTGTGGCACCCAATGGCAGGTCACATCCTCCCTACTACTGGATACTACTAACAGTGTCAGTGTAGGGCTGCAGGCAAAAGTGAACGAAACGAAGTCTCAAAGCTAGATATCAAACAGCTGTCGAACTTCACTTCCATGATGTAATTGCATCTGCGGTAATATTCGGAGATCTTACGGCGTGGATACCCTCATTAGATAGCATGATAGGGATCGTTTGTTTTCGAACAATAATAGATCAAAACTTTGTACAATCGAACCTTTCTTAGATTGTTCATTCTTTCTTGACTATAAATAAAATAAATAAATTTTCTTTTTTCTGCTTTGCAGGTGGCAACGAACGCAACGAATTCTACATCGGCAAAGATAACGGTCACATTTTATTATCGAAAAGTTTAGATCGTGAAACCCAGGCGTCGTATAATTTAACTGTCAGCGTTACCGATGGTACGCATATCGTTAATACAAATCTCTACATACATGTTGTTGACATCAACGACAACCGACCGCAATTCACACAAGATATATACTACGTAAATATATCGGAGAATATCGAAGAGGAAGCCATAATTATGCAATTGCATGCAACTGATAAGGACGAGGACAATAAAATATTCTACACGCTACATGCAGCACAAGACCCAACATCGCTTTCACTATTTCGTGTAGATTCCATTAGCGGTAATGTGTTGGTGATCAAACGTTTGGATTATGAGAAGAGCAGACATCATACATTAATAGTGATTGCCAAAGATCAAGGCACGCCCGCGAAACGGAATTATGCTAAAATCGTTATAACGGTACACGATCATAATGACCATCATCCGGAATTCATGAGTAAAATCGTGCAGAGCAAAGTGCCCGAGAGTGCAGCGATTGGTTCGAAAATAGCCGAGTTAACGGCCTTAGATTTGGATAGTGGAAAGAATGCTGAGATCAAATACTCCATAATAACTGGCAACATTGGCAACACTTTCGAAATCGAACCAACAATGGGCACTGTAGCATTGGTGAAAAGTTTAAATATCAACAAAATGCAGGAGTATATGCTGCAAGTAAAGGCCACAGATCTCGGTGAACCGCCGCTCTCCTCACAGATGCCGCTGCACATTATCGTTACAATGTCAGAAAATGATCCACCCATATTTATGGCGCCACTAAATGTGATTGAAATTTATGAAAATATTCCCATCGGTACATTCGTTTGCCAAGTTGAGGCGCGTTCTTCGTCATCTGTGTTCTATGAGGTGGCGAATGGCGATGAAGGCAACCGCTTCCGTATCAATCCCTCGACTGGTGTGATAACTGCAAATGACATCATTGATTATGAGAAAAATAAGTAAGAAAAGCATTACATTTATTTAGTTTTTAACTTATTGAGTTTATTAGTAAGATTCCTTCATTTGGTATTAATGAGAAAGGTTACTGCTTGGTTCCTTTCTAAGACTTAAGTAAAATAGGCTTGTAAGAAACTAATTCTCTGCGACTTTCTCATTAGAAATTTTAAATAAATTTAAGTGGCTGCCGGGTATCAACACACTTAGCCCATCAAAAAACGAAACATAGCAATCGACGTACCTTTGCACTCGCTCAAGTCTCAAAGGTTTCCCCTCTCAAGACTTTAACATAATCCTCCAAAATGTGGTGCTTTCGCAATGGAATTGGCTTAAGGTTTCAGTTTCTTCCTCCTCTCTACAGGTCTTCCCGAAGTGATGGTACGCTTAGTCTATCTGCATGCCTAACTGAAAGCAGATGCCTAACATCATGATGAAATCTTTTTTATTTAGTAAGATGAGCCCTCTCGACTTTTTCTTGTGCCAAGTCGCCCAGAGTATTCTAGTTACATTGCCTCCTATGATGAGCTTAAAAGTGGGGAACTTCAAAGGAAACTGCAAATCTGCTGCTGGTCATTGCCTTTCGCAATTTGCGGTAGTCCCCACGGTTCGTGCTGCCTGAATATCGGAGAGAATATATATAGATGCAGTTAACAGCCCTCTGCATGGCCACCAGTTTCACTGGAAAAGCGGTACACTGATCGGGCAGTCGCAAAGTGTTTCGAGTCTGCATATGCTGAAACACTCCTATAGCATTGCTTTCTATCTAGAAAAACCACTTCGTAGTATTTCCTGAAGCCAGTGAAAGTTATGCAGTGGTCCGTTCTATCCGCTAGATTAAACATTTTTAATATTGTTTGACAACCAACATTAAGATACACTGTCTGCAATCTTACCATGACACAAGCAACATTATGCAGCCCATTATGTCTACGGAGAGTACATCCAATCTTTCATTCAAAATCCAACGTAGGTATGGTCCGCAGTGTTCTACCAATGCACAGGATTGTCGTTCTTTTCTTCTCGAGACTGGTCACCAGACCACTATTCCACCTTATGTGACATGCCCCATTTATGTCCAATGGCTCGTTTGCATCTATAGACAAGTACCTAGCAGGTCCTCGGTGCGTAAACACGTCACTGGGAACATATCTGGTTGAGAATTTTTCGATCTGGATACCATCAAGTAGCTTAATGATTATTCTTGTACTGGAATCTCCTACTACAGACAACTATATTTTGGAAATCGTGGAAGACAATTAGCCTCAACCCATTTAGGGATGTTTCGCCGTGGAGGCTGACAGTTGTTTCGAAGAAACTTTTTTGCCCACCACACTAGTATAAATGCGCCAAGCACAATTTTTATTTACATCGGAGAGGGAACAGCGCTCATGAGTACGCTCCAGACGCTCATAAAAGACATGCGATATGTTGAAAAATTTCGTTTTGATGCAAATTCTGGGGAGACGTTCATCCTCCAGGGTGAATGTAAGGACTTGGCGGCGGAGTTTCTCTCCCACCACGAATCCCACATGACAATTTTCGTTGCTTCATGTTGCCACCGCAGGAAATGTCACAATAACCTACAATACTTGTCACGTCAATCGGATTTCTTGGCCGACGGTTATGGCAGCCTTTAGCCTAACGAACAATTTAACTACCAATGCGTGTGCTATCGAATATGATTGTGGTTTAGGGCCTACGGTTAGACGTCTGACGAAGAGTTGTCTGCAAAATAAATCATCTCCTAACTAAGACCAAATGGTATATCGAAAACAAAATGAAGTCTGCTGCTATTAGAGCTCCCTTAAATATCAGATCCTTAAGCCGTGGACAATATTGTAATATTAAATTACTTAACGAAGAAAATAAATTTATTTCAATAATAAATTTTATATAATTTTCTGTTTTCACCTTTTACAGATCGTTTAATCTGACCGTTCTTGCAACAAATATGGCATCAGCTACTTCCACGCACAATGTTATCATACACATTTTGGATGTCAACGATAATGAGCCCTTCTTTGAAAAAACTTCCTATAATGGAAGTATATCGGAGATTGCGAAAATTGGTTCTTTTGTTTTTCAAAAAAGTGATCCACAAAATAGGTAAGTTTACTTATATATATACATAGATTATAAACTATAATCTACAAATCCATATACAAGTATATTTATATGAAAAATATATATAAGTACAATAATTTTTGGAGCCACTGTACACTTTATTATCGCTCAAATCCATTTGAAAAATAAATAATTCCAAAAAAAACAAAATTAAATAAGAAAATTTTTTGAAATACAATGAAACAAAATCAAAATAAATTACCGTTTCCAAGCCGGAAAATGAAAAGACCACAACGAATATTTCGCAAACGTAACGTCGTCCGCTCAATGGCAACTCAGGTCAACGAAATTGAATTGGACGGTACCTTCGAGAGTATGTGTGAAGATCCTGATAGCTGTTTTGACACGTACAATCAAAATGTTTTGCTACGTAAGAAACAGAAATACAAAAATCTCTTCATAGCGGGGCACGTGCCAAAAACATCTTCTACAACGCTTTGCCGGCCAATCTCATATCATTTTGCGCCACACACCATACATAAACAAAATAGATATATTTGAGTTTGTTTCGAGTTGGAAAAGAAAATGTGTAACAAAAATTCTTTGTTTTTATAAAAAATAAATAAATTTTTTGTCGCCGAAAATGAAATCCAAAAAGAAAAAATCGATAAAATGCATGCAAGTTAGAACGATAGAGGAAGAGTTTTTAGGTTCGCGGGGGCGGATATTAAAAGACAGAATTATTTTTTCTTTTCAATATGATCATCTGCAAGGCGGTAAGATTTTTTCTGATCTTCAAATAATTATTTTATCGCCACAATAAGCCGTAACTACCTTCCTGACTTCAACATCAGTGATACCTTTTTTACCGCTCAGCGGTTTTTTTTTCATTTTTGCAAACAGGAAATTATCACTTGGGGCCTGATCTAGGCTGTAGGTTGAATGATTTAAAACATCGAAGCCCACCTTATACAGGGCAGCCAATACAATACGGCACTTGTTTCTGAAGAGTCGTGAGAATTCTCGACAACCAGCTTGCGCTGTTCTTAGGCCTGCCAAGATGATCGTTCAGAATTTCAAAATTAGTCCTATCGGAAACTTCAATCATTTCTTCGAGTTGCTTGTTTTTTAGTCGAGCATCGGCGAGGGAATTTTTTTGGACAAGCTCTAGCATGGTCACCTCTATCTTCACGCCCGACCTCTGGTTTATAGCGGTACAATATTCGATTTTTCCCACATTTCACTATTCACTCCCGATTATGTTGCTTGGTCGACAATAGGTTAGCTTGGGTTTGGTTGAAGTGGCTGCCGGGCATCAACACACTTAGACCACCAATCGCAGATAATATTTAGGATCCTTTTTACCTTCTATACGATAGCCAAATCAATGTGTGAAATGGGTTGCCGCCCTTAGAAATTTCAACCTTCTCCTCCAAAGTGTGTGGCATTCGCAAAGGAAGTGACTTAAGGTCTCCTCCAGCAGACTCCAGCAGAAGTCAATTAATGGTACGTCCAGTCTCTCTGTGTACCTGCTTAAAAGATGTCCCATTAGAAGACCCTTAAACATGAACAACTCTTTTCCTTTTAGCAAGATAAGCTCTTTCGACCTTTTCATGCTCTAAGTGGATACAATTATTGTAGTCCGTCTTGAGTTGACATCTGTGATGAAAGATTCTTCTACGATAAGCGTACAAGCGGCAATCAGACAGCCCAGACTTTTCCAAGATGGAAAAAAAATGGAAGGGAAGGCAAACTCAACCGCCATCTCGTTACTTGGTATGCTATTGTGCCCCATTACTTACACCAAGTTTAAAGAGAACTGCTACTGGTCTTCGAATTTAGTGATTTACAGCATTTCTCTACAATCTCTGACTTTATTGTGATAGATTTCAGGTCTTTAAAAGTTAGCTACGATAGGTTATCGGAAAAAATATAGATATACTTCATCGAGGGTACTATTTGGACTAGGCAGTTGACTATCTTTTGGCCAGTACTTCCGCTTGAAAAACAATGCTTACAGTAATCTGATGGTCGCAAGGATTGTAAGACCAAGTTTCATTAAGTACAATCCCTACCCTCCTCGGTTTTCCAGTTTTAATCCATTCGTGTACAAGTGGGGAGAGCTAGGTAGTCGATAGATTAAAGACTTGATCTAATAACAATGAAACTTCACTAATATCACTGAACACGTCAGCATACTAATCTGCCTAATGACCCCCATACAACTCTCTCATTTCTCGAAAATAAAAACTCTTCCTCCTATTTCATAACGGCTTCACAATACAGAAGCATTGTGAAAATCTCTTAAGACTATCATAATGTACAGTACAGAGATTAGTAAAAATCGATTATATTGTAGTTAAGAGCGATTATATATATGTAAGTGCTTCCATATAATATCCATAAATGTTTCCTTTTACTTATCTTCCACAGACCGTTACTTGTCGCCGTTAAGGATGCGGATGAGGGCGTTAACAGTATGATTGAATTTACGATTTTAAATAATCAAGCTAAAGAATATTTCGAGATTGATTCTTCTACGGGCGCTGTCAAATTGCTGAAGCAGGTGGATTATGAGAAAAATAAATATTTTCGTTTTGACGTTATGGTAAGTTTGAGTATGAGACTGAAAAGCGTCTACTGGTGTGCTACTTAGCTGTTAATGGTTCACTTATGCAGACTTATATTACTTAACTAAAGAAATGGCACTTAGTTTTCCATGCAATGAATTTTCGGTATATTGGCCAACACGAGAGAAAATGAGAAATTAGCTTCACTTGAAGGACTGCTGCATTATGGTGGTTATTACTATTTTTCAAAGGTAGAATTTATTATTTGAAAGTTAGAAAAGGATTTTTACCGTGCAACAGATCTATGAACGTATATTACAGACGGATTTTAAGTTCCAAGTCTTGGGTAAGCTCGGCACGCATTAGTACAAAATACGGCATTGTGGTTATAGTTATTATTATTACAGTTGTTCGATGAGAAAACCCTGATCAAATGCACTCAGACCTGCTGGCCCGTTGTGATACCTATCAGTGGTGAAATCTGCCTGGTTGCATTGCATGTCGTTTCAGCATGGCATTTTCCTTTATCGCTACCCGAACTTTGCCGAAGAAATAGATATGCCCACATCGTAAGCACCATTTACCCTAGTTGGAACTGTACATTTCATTGTTACGTTCAACTGTTTGGTGTTAAGGTTTAGTAGCTCTCCATCGAGTTTATGATAGAACTGAACACTCACAGAATAAAATGGTATATTGGCAGAGTCGATGCACCGAAAAACGTTGTACTGTGTTACCCACTTCAAATTTACAAATGCAGCAATTTTATCGACCAGACCAATTTTTGGTGCATATATTCCGAAAGGTCAGTGATCCGTTCTTGTCTGTTCCCACTAGAGACAAATCGGTTTCGTTATCCAAAAGTTTGATAAGGATTTGCATCTATTCTTAGTTAATTTTTAAAATATCATGTGAATCTTTCTTCTAATCATTTTTAACGGGCATGGTATTAACTACGTTTCTGATTCGTCAAGAGAAGCGCCTGGCCAACTTGTTAGCTCTTTTTGTTACCGAAAACGTTCTTATGGTCGAGTAACCAGATTATGAAGATTTCGAGTAGACCTACCAATGAGCTCGAAAAATTTTCTACCGTAATTGACGGTGTGGCTATAAGGCCAGTTATGTCCGAGTCTAACTGTATCCTGTCGTCGTGGTAATTCAATATAGCACTACTAGTATTTTAAGCCTAGTATTTCCACTTGAAAGATGCTAGCTGAATTAGGTGGGCTTATAGAGAGAGAGAGTGAGAGAGAGAGAGAGAGAGAGAGAGAGCGAGAGTTCAAGACTCTTAGAGAATACTTCCGCCCCTATCCCACTGTCTATTTTAGACCAGTCGGTATATAATGAGTTTGTATACCCTCACTTATTAGATATCTTCTCCTACAATGTCTAAAGGGTATCCTCATCCACAAGCAACTATAGAAAACCAACCTAGGAAAGATATGTGTTAGGTGTTTTTTATTTATTTTTTTTAACATATGGCTTTAAGAAGAAATAAAACGAATGTAATTTAATTTTATGGCCAGAATTTATCTTTATTACAAAGTTAAGTGCTTACCATTGTGTTTTAAATATGATTCCGGCCAAGTGACCACCGCGGCTGGCTTGAATAAAATACTATACTTCCGCAAAATCTTCTATAAAGCGAATGAGCACTGCTCCAATGTTTGCGCACTGAGGCGGATGAACTCATTCGGGTCTTCTTCGGTTCTTCTTCGGTTCTTTGCTCCCCAGTAGCAGTAGAGTTTTCGGATGATATAGCAAACCAAACTGAGTATCAATCAGGTAAAAGCTATACGATATCCTCACTTGTTGTCGCAATAGCCAAGTGTTTAGATTTGCATACAAGCATTGGGAAGGCCAAGTATTGCCGCATTAAAAACCACACGTCTAAAAAACCATCTGGCTCATTTAAAGTTCTGGTGCGCCGGTTTAAGATAAGTGCTTCCGGTTCTAATATCCCAACTACATAAATCTGATTGCCGAGTATCAGTCAGATGTGATCTAAAGACTTAATAACTCCTGTAACCCCTTCGCAGGCTGCTCTTTGAATTCCATTTCATTTCCTGATATTTAGTGCAACATGTCTCAAGTTTTCAAAGTCTGCATACACGTAGTTGATATAGTTGAGCCATAATATTTATCGGTTAGTTTTGAATTATTTGATTTTTATACTTATTTCTCTCACTTTCACTGGATTAGATTAACGATTTGGGCTCGCCAAAACTATATGACAAATATCATGCAACTATACATATCGATATTGAAAATATCAACGATTGCCCGCCGGTGTTCATCAAAAACTACATGAATGTCACACTATACCAACCCACATTCGAAAACATCATAATCGCCGAAGTGAATGCAACCGATGCCGATTTGGATGAGAATACGAAAATACGTTATGACATCATAGATGGAAATGTGGATGACTGTTTCGAGATCGATGCAACGACTGGGATTGTAACCACCAGGTATGAATTATTTAAAGAATGAATTCATACAAATTTACAATAAAATATTTATTTTTATACATAACTATTTTATATATACACTAAAACTCCATCACTTTTTTTAGACATATAACGCACCTGGATACATTTTACACACTACACATCAGAGCTTCCGATGGCCTTTATTCGGCAATTGCACAAATTGATATCAACATAGAGACCTTGACCACACCTGGTTTTGTTTTCCAAAAACCCTTATATACATTCTCAACAATCGAAAATTCTTCCAAAATCGTCACTGTGGGCCTAGTAAATGTTGTGGGTAATCTTTTGCATGAAAATGTTGAATTCACAATTTTAAGTCCAACAAAGATGTTTGTCATCGGTAAAACTTCTGGTGCCATTAAGACGACGGGACTGCCTTTCGATCGCGAAAGTCAAGATCTTTATACAATCATAATAGAAGCGCGCTCTTTATTTTTGTATGAAAAATTCAAACAAATGCGACGTGCCATAGTTCGCGTTGATATTTCGATACTCGATGTGAATGATAATTGTCCGATATTCGTAAATTTGCCTTATTATGCCACCTTATCGGTGGATGATGCCAAAGGTACTGTGATAACTAAGGTTAAGGCTGTGGATTTGGATAGTTATGAGAATGGTGAGGTGCGTTATGAAATGAAGAAAGGAAATGGTGAACTCTTCAAAGTTGATCGCAAAACGGGTGAATTGGTGCTGAAACAAGTTATCGATGGTAGTACTAGAGTTTATGATCTAATTATCGCTGCTTATGATGGTGCAATATCACCGTGTTCAACAGATGCTGTGGTTAATATTAAGGTGAGTGTGATATTAAGAAATAATATTTAATCTCATAATTATATATTTATGCACATCAAGGCCAGAAAGTTTTCGGAAGTAGTCTTAAACTGTCGGCGCTGAATTATTTTCAGTACTTTTTGGTTAAGTTGGTTCTTTAATTTCTATGGCAAAAATGTGCGCGATCTGTCAACTAGTTTGTTGAAATCAGTCGATTTCAGTTGCCGCTGTCAATTTCCATCCTCAATCGAGTCGAAACGGGTTTCACAGAGTGGTCACATGAGTTTTGGAAACAAACATATAATTGTAATTGGCATTTCATAACCGCTGAAGCGACTTACGGCCGAGCTCTACTCCGCCATTTTGTGATAGGCGTTTTCATATTTTTTCAATAAATGGAAGAGCCTACAATTTATTCTGAGCCGCCTCCGAACGACTGAAGTTTTTTTGAGGAATTTGTAATTTCAATACGCTCGGAGAGCTTGACATTTCCGCCGAAGGGCAACCGGAATTAAAAAAATTAATTTTCTATAATTTTTTGATGTTAGTCGAACCAGGAGTCGCACCCTGGTTTTCCCAATGGCTGTAGTTTAGATAAAAATCGGTCCCTAAAATTAAAGTAAAACTGTACGTCGATTATGAAGTTATCGATTTTATTATTCAACAATAATTTAAGCTTGACATATTCGGTTTAATAGTTCGCAGCGTATTTTCACCAGAGCGGGCCTGGAACTTGAAGCAAGTGGCTCACTATATAAATTTGTGAAAAATTTAAACGTACTCGCCGAGCGAAGTTCTACTACTACTGAATACATATAAAAGATTTTGATTTATGGCCATGTACATCGAATGTCCGATCCCTTAATTAGGAAGATGTTACTGGCCATCTGTTCGTAAGAATGCAGTGACAAAGACCAACTCCGAAAAAGTATTGCCTGATTAAAAACCACAAGTCTAAAACATAAACCCTTTATATATACAAACATATATATATATATTCAGCTTAAGATACATATATATTTTAAACGATTTTTTTTGTATTTTCACAGGTTGTTGATCGTTCAATGCCCACATTCGATAAGCAATTCTACTCGGATGTCGTTAAGGAGAATGTCGAACTGTTTTCAGCGCTATCCATTGCAATACAGGCTGAGAGCCCGCTCAGACGTAAGCTTATTTACACAATATCCAGTGGCAATGAGGACGAAGTATTTGAAATCGATTACAGAACAGGTGAGATTCAATACATACAGGGTGACGTATACGAAGTTATTTTGGACCTTCTAATGCTCACACTCGTTTCTTCTCATTATGTAGGCGTCATTTACATCGTCAACGAATTGGATTATGAGACCAAGCAAAGTCACGAATTTACGGTACGCGCGACAGATTCACTATCTGGCATTTATGCCGAAGTTACGGTGTCAATAATTGTTGAAGATGCAAACGATTGTTATCCGGCGATTGAACAAGACAATTATAATATTACCATATCGGAGAATCTATTGATCGGTTCGCAAATTATGAAAGTGAATGCGTCCGATTGTGATGCCAATGCAAATAGTGAATTGTCCTACTTCATTGATAGTGTTGATGGCAAAAATAGTTCGGCTTTATTTTACATAGACATTGCAGAGGGTTATCTCTATTTGAAGAGTAACTTGGATGCCGAAGAAAGCACTTTCCATCACATCATTCTTATCGTCAAAGATCATGGCACACCGTCGTTGAGCTCAAGAGCCAATGTATGGTTAACTGTAAAGGATCTCAATGATAATTTCCCAAAATTTACAGAAGCTTCCTTTTCATGCCGTTTATCGGTGAATGCACAACGCGGGCAATTCGTTATCAACGCCAAGGCCTACGATCCCGATCATGAAGATAATGAGAAACTGAAATATCGTATTATCGATGGCAATGAACTGCAGACGTATACAATTAATGAAAATAACGGTGTCATTACATTGCAAAATATGCAAAATTTCACAGATCACCATCAAACATTGTTGAATGTTTCCGTTAGTGATGGTGTACACACCACCTATGCCAGAGTTAAGATTACCTTGATGCCGGAAAATAATTATGCACCGAAATTTCTCAAATCTGTTTATGAGGCGAGTGTTAAGGAAAATGAAGCCGCTGGGAAAACGATTGTTATGGTACGTAGTTTTGCGTGCACAAGTATTTCATAATCTGCTCTTTTGATTCTAAAACAAATTTAATTTTCTTTTTTTTTTAATTCTCTTTACAGCTTCAGGCTTATGACGCTGATTTCGGCCGATTTGCAAAGCTCACTTATGATGTAGTTTCGGAAGATTTTAAAGAACTTTTCGAGATCGATAATACCAACGGTACTTTGACAACGAAAGTAGCATTTGATCGCGAACAACGTGCTTTCTATGATGTGCTGGTGAGAGTGTCTGATGAAGGTGGTAAGGCCGATTTCGCTTTAGTGAAAATTAAAGTCGAGGATGTAAACGATAACAGTCCACGTTTCATGGTTAAAGAATATAAGCTTGTGGTGAAAGTTAACACCACAATGAATTCACCACTTTTGAAGGTTAGTAAAGATTGTTATATGTATATTAAACTACTTATTTTAGATATACAAGTGTTTAAAAATATCATATGGACCAGTAAAAAGTAAAACACTATATTTTGCATTAAACTGAAGGCTTTATTTGCCATAGTTGGAATTATCCGATTTATATCAAACACGCACCGTTGTGCATTTAGCCATTTTGAAGGTGTTGGTGATGTCATGATATCACTCCGCTAAAAACCCTTATCCCTATTAGTAAAAAATTGGGACAATCGATTTTCATAGGCTTCATAGGCTTCCCTTGAGACCGATTCTTCACCAGCTAAAGGCGGTGACAGATGTTAATCACTTGGTGCCAGGTCCAGACTATAAGATGGAGTTTCTGGCGAGTCACTATCGATGTGTGTGGTCTGGCATATTCCGGATAAAGCACAATTCCTCTCCTGTTGGGCAAAGTTAAGCGTTTTTTGGGCGATTGCTTCCTTCAGACGGTCCAACTTCAGGCTCTGCAGGTCCGAATTACGAGTTTGGTTGTAGGGGAGCACCTCATAATGGTTGATCCCTTGCCAATCGCAGCAAACACACATACCTTCCTGAACGTCCATATTGACATGGAAACCATTTGTGCAGACTCACTGTCCTTCGACCACGACCCTATTTTGTTTGACTTTGCTATATGTCATCCATCTTTCATCACCACTCACCAGCCGCTTCAGTAATGAGTCGATTTTGTTACGATTCAGCAGCAATTTAGATGGTTTTAGATTTTGATGGATATTCGATGCATGTCCATATGAAATTTTAAGATTGGTTATAATCAGATTTTTATTGGATTTTTAAGTTATGACCACATTGCTCAGATCAAATCACAACTTTTTTACATAATATTAAAAGATACGATATAATTTTCATGTTGACATCTTTCATTATCCTTTCTTCCCCCTACCACAGGTAAAAGCATTCGATCTGGATGGGAACAAGAATGCGCGCATAACTTATGCGATTGATGAATCAACGGTCTCTGAAACATACAAAGATATTTTCGCAATCAACGAAAACGATGGCAGTTTGAGTCTTCAGAAGTCGGTGACAAATTTCGCCAACAATGTTGCGCAGTTTTTCGTACGTGCCATGGATGGCGGAAGTCCGCAATTTCACAACGATGTACCCGTGACAGTACAGTTCATCAATGCCGAAGATACAGTGCCAGAGTTTGAGAAACAATCCTTTGATCTACATGTACTAGAATCAACACCACCCGGTTCAGTGCTGACAAAGTTACGCATTTCCGGAAATTATTCAGTGAAATTCTCAATACCGATTGAAAGTCGTAAATTTTCCATATCCGAAAATGGTGAAGTGATACTCATGCAAACGCTCGATCGCGAAGTATACGATATACACTATACGATTGTTTTGGCGGAAACGGAAACCTTACCGCCGTTATTTGCATTTTGCGAGGTTAACATACACGTGCTGGACGAAAATGATAACTCGCCTAAATTCGATAGTCGCGAATATAATGTGAATGTTGGTGAAAATATTGATAAAGTCGCATCGATCATTAAAGTAACTGCCACGGATATGGATATGGGCTCGAATGGTGATATACGCTATTATTTGGAAGACGAAACGAATACGGCAGCGAACGTCTTCGACATTGACATTTACACGGGTTGGATAACATTGTTGAGCACTTTGGATCGTGAAACACAATCAGAATATCACTTCAATGTGCTGGCTACCGATAATGGGCAACCGAAACATGTTTCCAAAGCGCCGGTGGCTATTAAGATCATCGACTACAATGACAATCCATCCCTATTCAATCAGGATAAATTCGATATAACGGTACATGAGAATGCACTACCCGGCACCATATTGAAATATTTCCTCATAACCGATCTTGACGCGGAGAAGAGCATAACAAGCTATTACATAATGTCGGGCGATACATATGCACAATTCCAAATTGGCAAAACTGGCGAACTCTTTGTAGCAAAACCTTTAGACAGAGAGGCAATACCAACATACAACCTGTATGTACTGGTTACCGATGGCAAATTCGTCGCGACCACTGAGGTGACCATCACCGTGCAAGATGTCAATGATAATGTGCCAATTTGTATGACGCCACGTTACAACTTAAAGATTGACGAGTCGGTGATGACCGATACGCCACTAGTACAGATCGATGCTTTGGATAACGATGAAAATGGCAACACTCAATTGCGTTACTATCTCACAGGCAATCGTTCCGACGACTTTTTCATTGATAAAGAAACGGGTACACTACGTGTGGCCAAATCAATTGACAGAGAAACCCTTGCCAAATATATTTTAACCGCACATGTGCAAGATGGTCAGGAACTGCTGCAGGAGTGCACCACCGAATTAATAATCAATGTGAACGATCTCAACGACAACAGACCAGAGTTTTCAATGGCGCAATATATTGTGAGCATATCAGAGGATGCGCCTGTCGGCACAATTGTGACCAAAGTGCATGCAACTGATAAGGATTTCGGTTTGAATCGCAAAATTGTTTACTCTTTTATCGAAGAACAACCGAATTTTAGCATATCGCGTTCGAGCGGTATTATAAAGCTGTCGAAGAGTTTAGATCGTGAGAGCATATCGATATTCAATATTTCAGTTAAAGCGGTCGATTGTGGCAATCCAAAGCAGTTATCGATTACCCGCTTAATAATAAACGTACTCGATATCAACGATAATCCGCCGGAATTCAGCACGAAGGAGTACAAAACGTACGTGTACGAAAATGCCACCGTCAATACGGAAGTTGTACGCATTTTTGCCACATCTAAAGATATTGGCGTCAATGCCGAAGTGCTGTATTTTATTGTGGGTGGCAATGAGCATAGTAAGTTCAACATCGATTCGAAGACGGGCAGTATATTCGTGAACGACGATTTGGATTATGAACGCACAAAGGCATATTTTCTCACAGTGCAAGCGATCGATGGCGGTACGCCACCACTGAGCAATATAGCGTCGGTTAACATCTCCGTATTGGATGTAAATGACAATGCGCCAAAATTCACACAGAACATGTATCGCGCCAAGGTGCGTGAGGATGCGTCAAAAATGCATAAAATACTACAAGTGCTGGCCACCGACGCGGATGCGGGTCAAAATGGCATTATACGTTATAGTATCGAACGTGGCGATCACCTAAATCAATTCGCTATCGAAGACTTCTCCGGTCAGATTATTGTTATAAACTCGTTGGATCGTGAGTTGAACGCAAACTATTTGCTGGAGATTAAAGCTTGCGACAATGGCGTGCCGGAACAGTGCAATTATGTGCGCATTTACGTGGACATCTTGGATGTAAACGACAATCCGCCACTATTCCGTTCCCAGAACTACAGTGTAGTGCTGCAGGAGAACAAACAGCTCGGCTATAATGTGTTGCTCTTTGAGATCAGCGACGCTGATGAGGCGCCCAACACCGCGCCTTACACCTTCGATTTGCGCACCGGTAATGAGGGTGGCTTCTTTCGCATCGAACAAGATGGCTGGCTGCGCACAGCGGCACGTTTCAATCACAAAATTTGCGATATATACACGTTGCAGGTGCGTGTCTTCGATAACGGCACACCGCCACTCTATTCCGATGCCTGGGTACACATACGCATCATAGAGGAGAGTCAATATCCACCAGTTATAACACCACTGGAGGTGACAGTGAAGTCTTACGATGACGATTATATCGGCGGCTTTCTGGGGCGTGTGCATGCGAGCGATCAGGATAAGTATGATAATTTGCAGTATTCACTTACGCCGACAAGCGGAGAGCTGTTCGTGACCAAGCAGCTTTTTAATATATCACAGAATAACGGTTCACTGTATGCCATCAGCAATCTGGATATTGGCATGTACCGCATTAACGTGACGGTAACCGATGGCAAGTTTACAGCACATGCACTGGCCAAGCTGAATGTTGAGCTCATAACGGGCGACATGACGCGTAATGCTGTTGTTATCAGCTTTCGCAAGGTCACGCCCGAAGCATTCATACTTAGCCACCGTAAAGGTTTCATACGCGCTCTACGCGCTATTCTACGCTGTCGGCAGAAAGACATTACCATAATCGCTATACAAGCGGCTGGCGCACATGCGACGCACAAGGCACTCGAACACACAGACGCTGACAATGTTATGCTGGAGCGTAGTAAACGTCATCAGCCCACAGCTGCAGATAATTTGAATGTCTTATTTGCTGTGCGCAAACAACAGATAACACCCACTTCGGAGGAGTATTTCACCACGGCCGAAGTGCGTGCGGTGCTAGTGAATTTCATCGATGACATTGAAGATGCCACCAATCTGGTTGTGGAGGAGATAATGGCGCCCACTTGCGCGCATAATATTTGTGTGCAAGGCGAATGTTTCAATCGCATACGTCTCAACAAACGGCAGCTCAACACCTACTCAACCGATGTTGCTAGCTTCGCCTCGCCCACATACAAGCACGCCAACGAATGCCAATGCAAACAAGGTTATGGCGGTCGCATTTGTAACGAACCAATTAATGCGTGCTCGTCCAATCCGTGCCCGCCCGAGAAGACCTGTTGGCCGGCCAACACCACCATTGGTTATCAGTGCATTTGTCCGCAGGGTTATACGGGGCATTCGTGTGACAGCAAATCGGCGCTGACGAAGTGTCAACACGGCAATTGCAGTGCACGCTTTACTTCCGTTTCGTTTAGCGGCAAGAGTTATGCGCACTATAAAATCAATAAGGCTGTGGCGAAGACAATACTCGAGCAGGAGTTTATCTACTCGCTGAAGTTGCGTACCGTACAGCAAACGGGCACTTTACTCTTCTCTAGCGGCCGCATCGATTATCACATATTGGAAATTTTCAATGGCGCTGTACAATACCGTTACGAACTCGGTTCGGGTGAGGGTAAAATATGTGTCTCAAGTATTTACATATCCGACGGCGAGTGGCATACGATTACGTTGGAGCGTGTTTTGAATAGCGCCAAGTTGACGGTGGACAGCAAGCATGTGTCGCAAGGTAGCGCGCCGGGTGTTAACGGCATACTGAATATACAATCAAATGATATATTCGTGGGCGCAGAAGTGAAACCGCATCCAGCTATTATCGGCTTCGAGGATATACAGAAGGGTTTCATCGGTTGCATGTCAGACATAAAAATCGCGCTTGAACCCCTGCCGCTCTACATCTCCGGTGGCAGCTCTGTGGCGGCGCTGAAACGTTTTACAAACGTCGAGTTTACCTGTGACCCCACCAGCGTGCTCGTACAGCTTGGCATTTGCGGCGCACAGCCTTGCCTCAATGGCGGTATTTGTATTGATTTGGGTGAAAATAAATTCAAGTGCACTTGTCACGCACGTTTCACAGGTCAAATGTGTGAGGTCGATATGGATCCATGCGCATCGGCGCCTTGTCTCTTTGGCGGTCGTTGCGAGGTGCATGAGTTTGGCAATTACAGCTGTGCGTGTCCATTACATTTATCTGGTCGCCGTTGTGAGTATGGCAAATATTGTACACCCAATCCATGCAAAAATGGTGGCGTTTGCGAAGAAGGTGATGGCACGCCGCATTGTTTGTGTCGCGGCTACACAGGACCGACTTGTGAAATCGATGTGAACGAATGTGATAATCATCCGTGCGGTAATGGCGCAACGTGCATCAATGAGGCTGGCAGCTTTCGTTGCATATGTCCATCCTATCTTACGGGCGCCAGTTGTGGTGATCCTTTGTATTCCAATTCCATTTCTACAAAGTTAAAGAATCTCTCAATGGAACAATTGGCTGGCATTGTTGGTGGCATCGTGATCATTATCCTAATTATACTTGTTGCCTTCTGCTGTATTGTCTTTCGTAAGAGTAACAGCGCAAGTGTCCCAAGCTCAACCCATAAAGATCCATATAAGGGTGAAAATTTGAACTCCCTCGTCTGTAAGGAGAAATATGCCAAGAACATTGCCAAGATGAGTAATTTGGAGATAAATCAGCGTCCGATGAGTTATACGGCAACGACAAATGATAACTTATATGCCGGACATACAACATTCGTGAATAACTTGGACATTCTGCGTAGTTACGGTTCGGCGGGTGATGAGCTCGAAAACATTCCGTTCGAATATCAGAAGATCAATCGAAATAATGAGCATGTCAATCTGAATGATTCGGATCCGATACAGAAGCGTGACTGGACCGAGCAAATGCATTTGAAGACCTTCAGTGAGAATAAGCTAAATAACGGTGAGTGCAATGCTTCGATCATTATTTTATGTATTTAAACATTTTAATCAAGCTGACTTGATTAGTCGTTTGGAAAGACGTGGACAAATAGTGAGGGCATACTTAGATATAACCTTAGATAGGGAACTCACCTTTGCTCCAGTTGAAGTGAACGGAAGAGGTGGCGATCGTTAAAAGATAGGTGCTGAGACCACTTATAGTGTACACTGACTACCAGTTGAGTTGAGTTGATTCGGCTGTTGGTCAGTAACCAACCCAAGTAGCCAATAGACTCATTTTGATATCGCTGTGTTGCTCCAATTTTCACCTTCCCAAATGTTTGAACTATGTGTCCTATAAAATCAACGAGATTACCAATTTTTGTTGAAGCTAGCTCAGTAAGACAGCCAAAGAAGTGTATCCCTGGAAACTTCTGTTGCGCAGTTGTCATGATTGGATAGTGATGACTGAAATAGACTCTTCCTCTTCGTTGTCCCTTCAACTGGGGAAAGAATCATTGGAGTAAGTTCCCATTGTTTTACCATAAAGTCACATTAAACAGTGGCCTGTCATTCCAACTGTCGTTATGCTATGAATTAAGAAGTACCGGTCCAGAAGCTGTCGTGATCCTTTCGCGCCCAATTTTGGGCATAGCTGTTTTCATTTTAAGCTAAGCCAGATTTGGTTATATTGCATGATCCAAAAGTAACTGTTTGAGCCAATTTTTTCAACCAAAATGAAACAATCAATGGAAATTGATGTTGATTTAAGAGGTCTTCACGATTACGGTTTTCAACAAGACGGAGCTTCATGTCGCACTATAAAACATTATATTCAAACTCAAAGTACTCTCGGATCATACACAAGATCAAGGGAAACCCTCTCGTGCCAAACACAATTCTATAGCTCGCGATATAGTTGAAAAAGGAATTACTTGATTGATGTTCAAAAAATAGTCCAAAACCGCAAAGTGCCAGGTTGGACCATAAATATAGAAATTGTTTTTTTTCGGAACTATTCAATTTCTACATATGTACCGATGTAAAACAGAAGATAAAATGTAGAGAAGGTAAAATTTGAAGTTTTTGACATCGTTTACAATCACTTCTCTGGACTGGACGAAAGGACGGAAAGAGCGTGTACTTGAAGACTGAACACATTTCATAATATGGATCTTAACTATTCTTGTCTCCTTGCGTTGAGTGCTTGTCATTTATTTTTCCGCTTGTGATCCTCATTGAATCCCCTTGGCCCCCTTGAGGGCGGCTTAGAATAATCAAATTAATTAGACGATCAGTTCAGCCAAATATCGCTTCAACGGTTACAAAACTCCAATTACATTTAGTCTAGTTCCTCTCCACTTGATCTTTTCGATTTTGCCACCACCACCATCAGCCGCTGATTTGTAAACCGCATTTTTGACATTATTTTGAACACTGCAACTATCCATAGGCTCTTTAATGAAAAACAAATATTATCAATATTTTTTTTTTATTTTTTTTTCTTAAGAAAAACTCGATTATGCCGCATTAAAGTCCGGTTGTAGTAAAATGATACAAGTAACGGTGCCAAATGTATGCCACTCACCTTACACCGATTATCCAACGGTTAATCATGGACAATATCATTGGGATTGTTCGGATTGGGTGCGTAAAAGCCATAATCCATTACCGGATATAACTGAGGTACCTGGTGCTGAAATTGCCGACTCATCGAGCTTCCATAGTAATGATAGTAATGAATCTAAGCCAAGACGTACCTATGCAGTGCAAAGTAAGTTCAATAAAATATAAGAAAATCTAGTTTTCACGGGTATTAAAAAAAAAATTTCGTTTATTTCTACGTTTTAGATATGTGCGTTGGTGTTGATCCTACACGAGATATTGTGACTTTAAATGAAGACTTAACATCCGAATGCATCGACTCGGAATTGGAGAGTTGTATGCGTCCCTTCGAACTGCCACTTATTAATCATAATGATGTTTTAAGACTGAGCCCCCAAATTAACTTTGAGAATGAAGACTTCATTACAAATCCAGGTAAATTTTAATATACATACAAACATATATTATTATCACTAAACTCCACGTATACGGGGTAGCCCTTTTATGTTCGCAAAATGCGGGTTAAGGCATGGAAATAAAAAGTGCAAAATATTTCACCCTTTCAATGCATTCACCTGCAAAACGGATGCATTTTTCAGATCAGATCAATCAACTCCATATTTCTGCATTAGACATCAATTCTCTTTATCTTCATAATACGTCGAAGCAGCTTTATTGACTTCAATATCGGTGTTAAATTTTTTTACCCCTCAGCTCTTTCTTAATTTTTAGAAACAGCTAATTACCATTCGGTGCCAAGTCTGGGCTGTAGGGTGAGTGATTCTAAATACTAAACAAGGCAGCAGAGACGAGAGCGTAATCGGCTGACCTTAATCGTGGCCTGTTGATCGTGCGGGATTAAAAAGTTGCTTGTATCGTAAACTTCAACCATTTCTGCGAGTTTTTCCTACTATAAATAAAATTTTTCAACTTTTTGGTTAAGTTCTGGCATGGTCACCTCGATGGTCCTGCCCGCCCTCGGGTCGTTTTCAAGGGATCCCCTTCCTTCTTGAAATAAACTGTGTCTTTTATACATCGGGCTATACCCGGTGAAGAGTCGCAGACAGCCCATGACATCTTATTCATTAAGGTCGCAACTGATTATTATATTCGATTTTTCCTATATACCACTTTTCATTCTTGATTATGTTACTTGGTTTGCAATAAGTTGGGTTAAGATACGTTGAAGTGGCTGCCGGAACAGTGATTATAACACTGAGGGAGCCATTTAGACTTCAATGCCCCAGCACCCAGAGACTTCGACCTACTCCTATAAAATGCGGGACATTCGCAAAGGGAGTGGCTTAAAGACTGTTGCTTCCTTCTCTCCAGAACTCCTACAGTAGCCATTTGATGGTACGCCCTGTCTCTTTGCATGTCCTTTTAAAAAAAATAGAAGCTCGTCTTTTCATTTTAACGACATTGGTCCAACTCGCCCATATCATACTAGTTGCATTGTATAAATTGAGACTATTCCATCTTGAGTATGCTGCTATGAGGTAAGACTCTCCTATGACGAGCTTTCAAGTGGAGAGCAAATATAAAAGGGAAGATTCCTTCCTTGCAAGCTTCTCCGCCATCTCATTATCTGGTATGCTATTTTGTCTTGGCGCCCATACCAAGTTCGAAGAGAACTGTTTAGTGATTTGCGGTTGTTTTCAATCGTCTCTGATTTTACTGTGATAGATACCGATGCGCTTAGTGCTGTCTGACCATCCGAGAAAATATAAATACACGTCACAGCTGATACTATTTACACTAAGCAGTCGACAGCCTTCTGTGTGGTCAGTGGTGTCGCTTGAAAAGCACTGATTCAGCAGCCGCGCGGATTTGGAGATACAAAATTCCTTAGAGTAAACTCCGCTACCTACCCTGCACTACCTCAAAGACTAACCCGAATCTAATAGCAATAAAACCTCGTATTTATAGCAATTATAAGTTACTGAAAACGTGACAATCCTAATGAGCCCCATCAGCCCCTACAACGCTCTTTTTTCCGGACAATAAAGTAGTAGTACACCTTAGTAGTTTTTTACACCTTCACAAATCAAAATTTGCTTTAAATCCTTGCGTTAATAATTCTCGACTGTAAGGTGTTTTTCAGAGTAGCGAGCTTTTCATTAAGCTTTTTTTGAATATTTTTAGAGAAATCCTTAAAACATACTTTTTTCTTTACATTTTTATAATTTTTTATTTTCTGGTTTCCAGTGCCTTCAACATACGATCCTATGAACTCATGTAAGTAAAAAAAAATATGAAATTGAATTTTAATTAAAATTAAACAACTTTGAAAGCTCTTTACTTACATACGAGTATAATTTCATTTCTAACTCATGCATCTACATATATCTATTTCGAAAAACGAAAATTTAGGTAACGCATACTTACGGCATCCAGATTCATATTTACCTGCATTCAATGTACCCAGTGAAACTGAAGGTGAGAGTTCTAGTACTGAAGTGTTTTCAAAAGCCACCAGCGAAATGCTGCCCAGAAGAAAATTAAGTGGTAAGCTATTGAAAATTTCAATATTTATTTCAAAATATTATTTCATTTTCCAAAAAACTCGTACAAATGCTAATGTGTTTTCCTTCTTCCTTTTCATCTTGACCTACGCGTATTTCCTCGATTCTTCATATATTCTAGACAAATCGGAAGAAATTTATGTGTTCAGAAATCTTCACTCAAAAAATGGATCAAATAGCGACCTCTCGGTTCACTTGTGTGAAATTGAAGATTCCGAATTAGAGGAATTTTTACCCAGCTCATCAAAAGACGTTAATAATAGATAGAAAAAGATTACGTGGGATCGTTCGATCATAAAAGGCATTTAATTGTATAAAAAGAAATATTTTTATAAGATCTTCATACTTAAAAAAAAAAATGAAAAAAATGTAAAATATAAATAAGTAACGGTTAAAAGTTGTTAATGTTGTTTCGATTTCTTTCGATGAACTTTCAAAGGTTAGTTATGGCATTATGCGGAAACCAGTTATTTTCTTAGTACACTGAATAGCTCATAAGACGGACATCCAAGTCTAACTTTATGATAACGAAACGTTCATTATTTGACCCGAAAAATTACTTTCTCTTAATTGGCATGCAAGTAGCCACCGCTTACACTATTATGACCGGATCAACAATAGCGCGCCATTTGCTTATTCTGATCAGGGACTGGCATCAATAATAGATCTCTTTCCCCATGATGCTTCTAATGGGAAATCTTCTATTTCATCTGCTTATAACAGCGATTACCGCATCGCGTACTTTCAGAGCGGAAGTGTGTTCGTACATCCCAACAACATGACTTAACCAGCGAAGCAAAGCTGAACTGATGAACTGATGGCTTGATCTAACGGCTATAAAATCTAGCTTAGTAACAAGCGATGCTAGTCTCATCTCCATCATTTTAACTCATCGAAGTCACCTAACGGGAGGTCCAGGAAACGAGCTGTTTCGAAGGGGTTCAGACTAGAGGGAGAGAAGTTGTATAATATTTGGTTTTATAGGGCATGCAAATGGATGCTTATGGTCTTTTATTGACTCATTATATTCAGGTTATGCGTTCTAGTGCAGTTTCTAGGTATGCAATTATGCTTGTAAAGGTGAGTGAGCTTTGAATCAATGCAAAAATAGTAGGCTGCATAGTCTGATCACCAGAGATGCGGCTGTAAGGGGTAGGGAGGTTCTGCAGTAACACCATGATGACAACCACTGTGTGGTGCTGCTGCTCAGCGTCGTCCAGAAGATGTGATCGACAGAACAAGGACGAAAAAGGATAGGTCCTTGCGACATTTATTACTGTAAACGAACATCCAGTCACAGTTCGCATCAAAACGAAATTCTTTTGCCACCACAAATTCAGCTTTCAAAACGAAACATTCCAAAACGAGCAGAAGCTTGTCAATTTCGCCGGAGCTCGAATTGTGGTTGTCTGTAAAGCAAGATACCACATACTTAGCCGTTACCGAATGGATCATATTGTGGCGGAAAGAAGACAAACAAACTTTTGCAAGGGTCGACGTTGAAAAGCTGCAATCACAACAGACAGCCAAGTAATAGCATTCCTGCACTCAAGAGCACTCCTCCATAAGCCGCTTTGAATGATCTTTGGAATGGCATTTCATACTCCTTGCTTATCACCGCTAAAGAAATCCCACAATGAAATATATGTATAATTGGCGCTTTGGAAACGCTGAAGTGATTTTCGGTCAAGCGTCTTGATGTTTTTCCAGCAATTGGAGGGGCTTAAAGTTTATACTAAACCGCCTCCGAAGAGCTGATGGTTTTTTTTTATGAGAAACTTATTTCATGTCAGAAAAACACTCAGAGGGCTTGATATTCCCTGCCGAGGGGTAACCTAATTAGAAAAACTAATTTTCTTTTTACTTCTGGCCGTTGATCGGACTAGGACTCGAACGTGGGTCTTCTGAATGGCAGAACACACTGCTAACCACTATGCTATTGCGGCCGCGATGAGTTTTCGAAAACACCCAGAGAACGCAACGCTGGTGTCGAAAACAACGCGATCAACATGAAAAAAATGTTTCCAAGATCTGAAAGGGAAAGCGAAACGTGTAAATATGCTGAAGGAAAAAGAAATAGGTCGAAATGGTTATGAACAACTTGGCATACTTGAGAAGCTGGCCGACAGTGGTCGATAATCTATTATAAATTTGGTTGTTTCCATAAGGTTTCAAGACCGGAGCATACCCATGTAGGAACCAGAAAGACGATCTGGTGCGCGATGTTCAGAGGATGTACTGTGAACATGAAGAGAAAGTGAAATATCCACTGAGAGTAAGCTCCAACCCTCAATCAATGACGATGGTATAGATGTTTCAGCACCCGACAAAGATGATTTCAAACTAGCGTTGGCCGAAGGACCTTTTCAAATACGACCTTTTCAATACGACGGCGAAGAACTGGTAAATTTTTGAAAAATTTCAGCAAGTGGATTCAACGATACCTTAAATTCGCATTTAAGTTTAAAAACAATAATAACACGATTCTATTTAGTTCATATATTAAAAATATCTGCATTTATTACCACTAAAAATATATATTTAAATACATTTAGTTTTATTTATTATTATTATTATTTTTTTAATATTTAATAATTCACTTATTCGCTAATTTACATACATACATATGCATATGGGTTGTATATGTATGTATGCATGTGAGTTTCTATGTAAAGCTACGCCGTACGCCAAAAAGATCTTCATTACTGGTGCATTATTGATATCATTCAAGTGAGCTCTCCTAAATATGTATATTATTTATTTATATATTAGCTTTAAATATAATTATATTAATAATTATAATGCATTTGTGATTTAATAATCGCAAAATCCGATGTTTAGAATGTTAAAAAGCTGTGTGGCTCTAATTTTCGATTTGCCAGCAAATGCAAGTGACGGGTTTAAAAATAATCGTTGGTTTTTATTTACTTATTACTTATACTTATTGTGTTAAATGCTTAATGAAGTGTAACAAAAGAAAATATATAAAAATTATAATAAAACAAAAATAATTTTTAGAATTTTTCCCACAATCTCACACAGCTTTACCAGCAAATAAAGCGGCAGTACAGAGTGTAGTAAGCAGCTTTACCTCTTTTATTATTTTACTATACTATTTTCATTAAATTTTTTAAATACAACACATATATGTATATGTATGTGTGTACATTTTATATAATTCATACTCTTAAAATAGTATTTATTTATGTAACTCATACATTTTCTCTTACTGTTTGATTTATAAACTACTATCTGAGACAGCCTTTAAATGCTTTTAAAAATTTGTTTACACTATTTTTTTATATATTTGTATTTTATTTTATTTTTTTAATTAATTTAATTTTAATTACATATTTTTTATTTTTTTTATTATATTTTTTTTTAATTTTTTTTTTATTATNTTTTTTTTTTATTATTTTTTTTATTTACTTTTTTTATTTTGTTTTATTTACTTTTTTTATTTTTTTTTATTTATTTACTTTTTTTATTTTTTTTTATTTATTTACTTTTTTTATTTTTTTTTTATTTATTTATTTTTTATTTTTTTTTTAATTATTTATTTTTTATTTTTTTTAATTATTTATTTTTTATTTTTTTTTAATTATTTATTTTTTATTTTTTTTTTTAATTATTTATTTATTTATTTTTAATTTTTTTTTTTAATTATTTATTTATTTATTTTTAATTTTTTTTTTAATTTTTTATTTTCTATTTATCTTTTGATTATTTATTTTTTAATTATTTAATTTTTAATTATTTATTTTTTATTTATTTATTTTATATTTATTTTTTATTTATTGATTTTTTTTTATTTATTTATTTTTTTTATTTTTTTTTTTCTTATTTTTTTTATTTATTTATTTTTTTTATTTTTTTATTTATTTTTTTTTATTTATTTTTTAATTATTTGTTTTTTATTTATTTTTTAATTAGTTATTTTTTATTTATTTTTTAATTAGTTATTTTTCATTTACTTTTTAATTAATTATTTTTTTATTTATTTATTTATTTTTTATTTACTTTTTTTATTTTTTTTAATTATTTATTTTTTATTTACTTTTTTTATTTTTTTAATTATTTATTTTTTAATTATTTATTTTTTATTTTTTTAATTTTTTATTTATTTTCTAATTATTTACTTTTTATTTAATCTTGTTTTATTTTTATAACTCATTTATGTATATACGGGAGTAGAGCAAAAGGTGAACGGTCTTCGAACGGCATTCGTGCTGTGGCAGTGTTGTTTCGAGCTTTTGAAATGCTCTATAATAAGTCTGAAATTTCTTTCTATGCAATCAGTCCCGGCAGGAAATGTATGTGGTAGAAAGTCTTTTTAATTTTTTTAACTATGCAAAAAGCCCCGGCCTAAAATGTCTAAGTTGAAAGTCTTTGAATAATTTGTTTTACTATGCAATCAATCCCGACAGAAAATGTCCTTTTTAAATAATAAAATAAAAAAAATTAGAATAATACTACAGCAAGAATGCCGCCTGAATTCGTTCAAAAAATAGCAATAATTACATAAGTAAACTCTATTTATTGTAGGCTTTACAGTGCAATCTTCTTGCCATGGTAGCAAATTAATTTATAAAATACATAGAATTGCAGCGAGTAATGTAGTAATGTTCACAAGTTTTCAGATTTAGTCAAATGTTGATGTTCAAACCAAAAAACTGCCTCCCTTGCCTGCAGCTAAGTGAAAAAAACTGATATTTTGAAATTTATTTTTAAATATTTCAATCAAAATGTTGACCAACTTAAAATTCTGACACTCAACGCTAAGGTCAAATAGCAATAATCACCACAACCTCACCTCAACAGTCTCTTGAATCTACTGAGTTCCTTAAAAAAAAAAAAATAATATGAATAATTTTTCAATCATCCGGAAGGCTTGAATAAGAATCACCGAGATGATGTTTGTTAAAAATTACCTTAACGATTATCACATAGTATGTGTGTTGCGAGGGCGGTTGTAGAGTTTGATTAGGCTTATTAGGATCGGGACGTGTTCAGTGGCTCATATTAGTGTTTGACCTATCGCCTAACTAGCAGACTCGCTCCACTTGTATACGGATAGATTAAATGGTACACTCGATGAAGTGGGTCTATACTCTCAGCATGGCTATCGGGCAGCGCTAAGAGCACTGGAATCTATCGCAGTGAAACCAGGGGCGTTAGAGAACTGACGCAAACCACTAAAAGCGATGGCAAGCAGGAGCTTTCCTAAAACTTGGTATGAGTTCCTGCACAGAGTAGCATACCAAGTAACGGCATGGTGGACGAGCTTGCATGGAAGGGCACTTCCCTTGCACTTACGCCATCATTGTATCATAGCAAAGTCCTTCATCGTAGACGTGAACTTAAGACAGAATAGTCTCAATTACTGCAATGTAACTTAAATAATGAGGAAAGGGAAAGGGTCGCTTATCTTGTTATAGTTGAAAAGAGTTGTCCATGATGTTGGGTCTTCTAACACGACGCACGCAGAGAAACTGTTCGTAGAATCAAAGAGAGTTCAGGAGAGAATAAAGAATCTGAGACCTTAAGGGTACTTGGTTTGCGAATGCTCCGCACTTTGGAGGAGAAGTTTGAAGACTCTGGCGCGACAATCTTTGAAGACTTGAGCGAAATAGCAAAGTTATACCAATTGTTTTGATTTGCCAATACTACACGTTGGTTTGTGGGGCTAAATGGGATCCTCAACCTCAACCTAACCTAAACTAATCTATCGTCGACCATGCAACATAATCCGTTCGAAAAAAATGAAATATTAAAAAAATAGAAAATCGTGCGGTTAAGAAGTTCGTCACCAAGCAAGGAAAATCAGGTGCGACCTTAATGAATGTGATATCATTGATTAACGGCGACTATTGGCCGTGAAAAATCTATATCAAAGTACCACAGGAAGGGTATCTCCCTAGACCGGGCAGAAGCATCGAGGAAACCTCGCCAATGCAACCGTCTCGCGCATGAATATATTTAAAAAATCAAAAAATACCCCTTATCACACATTCAGCAAACATAAAAATGCTCGCTCTTATACATTGGGTGAGCCATTTTTATCTGAGCTTGAGGAAAATTGCAAAATATTGAAAATTGACTGCCAAAATGGTGGCGAATTGGAAATTGATGTCGATTAGACGCCGCGCAATCGCGATTTGACTCGGTTTGGACTACTTTTGTAGGGGAATATTGAAGTCACCACCATTGCACAGTTGGTAATGTGTTGAAAAACAGAACAAAATGGACAAAGCGAGCTGCGACAGCTATATAAATAAGCCGTAATTATTGAAAAATATTTTGCGTGATTTAATTTTTCCAACAATTTCAAAATTAAAATTTTGGTAGTCTTCGAATCGTTAGTTCAATTCAAAAATGCACACATCTGTGTGCAAAATCTAATTTTTTGGAAAATTTTTTGGAGCAAATATACTTACATTTACATAATTGATATGTGTGTTAATAGCAAAAATGAGGTTATAAAATAAATTAAATATATGTATATATGTAAATGTATATAGAAAAACAAAATTAATTTCTATTAAATGCCCATTAAAGATGTTTTAAAGTTATATATTTAATTAATAAAAATATAAAATTTTTCTTTTATAAACATTTACAAAAGTATGCGAATGACTCAGCAACTGCGGTACTGAGATTTATAAACTTTTCTCTTTAAGTCTACTTCAGTAAAACAAAATTAAAAATGATTTAAAAAAAATTAATATTAAATAAAAAAAAATAAATAAAAATAAAAAAAAACTTAACATTAACGTAACGAACAATTGAGTTTAAATTGATTTTATATAACGTCGCTGACGTTGACGGCGCTGCATATCACACACGTCACCCATTTTTCCATTTCAGAAAAAAAAAAACACTCTACCCTCTCTTTCCACCTACAGAAGTACTTAATACATAGTATGTACTTACATACATACACATGTACATACATTTCTAGCTCAACTATTCACCTTTAGCTTGTTGTATTTGTTCAGCACTTAACGCTTATCCGCTTTCGTCAACGGCACCGAGAGGCGTGTACGCAACGAATGATGTGTGGTGGTGGTGGTGGTGGTGGTGTTGGTATTGGCAGCGGGCGTTGTTGTTGGTGAGAAATTAGCATTCAAGGAATTTTTGGCAGATGATTTAGGCAGTGATGGTGCTTCTGTGGCATTATAACTGCTATTATTATTATTGTTGTTGTGGTTGTTGTTGTTGTGATTGTGATTATGATTGGTAGTACCAGCAACGGATTGACGTCTGGTTACCAAACGTTTTGGCAGTGTGGCAGTCAAACTATTGGTGGCAGCTGTTGTTGTAGTATTCACCGTTGACTTGTTAGTGGTGTGCGCACCCTCCGTGGATTGTCGTTGTGCAGCTGTGCGTGTTGTTGTACCGGCCGCATTACCGCTGCTGCTGTTGTTGTTATCTTCCGACTTCCGGCTGCGTTTGTTGGCGGGTTGTGGTAGATCTTATGTTATGTTGAGCGGGGGGGGAGGGGGAAAAGCGAAAATAAATTATTTAAGCGTTTTTTTGCGTTTCAAATACATACATACATACAGATGTATTTGTTTTTCTTAAATTTATGTATATTATTAATTAAGTTTTGATATATATATATATATATGTGTGTATTAATATAATAATTTTTTTAGCCGCTTACATATTAAATATGTACATATGTATAAATATGTATGTTTTATTAACTGTTAAAAAACGTTTAAATTATATTAAAATTAAATAAATTTTCGGGCCAACTTATATTTGACTTTTCTTTTGTCACAAGTCGCCAAAAAGTATTGTAATTGAAGCAAGAAAGGGCGAATTAAATTCAAATGGCGTCAAATACTGAATACTCGGCAGTTTCACTACATAATCATCGTTAAAGTCAGCACATTGCTAATGTATGTACTCGAGATAGGTTCTAAATATTTCAGGTTCAATCCACAGAGGAGTGGGGAAAAAGTTTGCGTACTATAAACTTAAGGGGTTACCTGGGTTCATTAGTCGTAAAAGCTCTATTTTGAACAATTTAACTGGTTGGTGGTCGGTTGGCAAAAAGTTGAGGTTGAACCTAACCACAAGCCGCCGCACCTAAGCCATAGAGTAGGCTCACTGTCTTGCCTCGGTTAAAAGGACTATAATATTATACTTTTGGGAACATTTCGCTCGATTTAATAAACTTATATAATTACTGTCAAACAACTATAATCCACACGACCCCACAATAATTTGGTGATACGTCCTACAGCAAAAGTATTCCCAGGTCTAAATAATCCTCCATGGTCCAATACTTTAGACATCATTAGAACAAGCTGCTAGGTTTTAGATAGCCAGTTCATCCGCCCTTTCATTGCTTTCTACTTGAGACTTGTGTTGATACTGCTTCTGTTGTTGCTTGACTGCTTACCAAAAACCTGATAAATTTTCCTATTAAAGCGGTTGCCTATTGTAATGACCACAATTTCTGCTCGTAAGACAGAGTTGTAGTAATTGTGTTTGAGCTAACTTGGATATTGAGGTTGTGCCAGATGCGCTCTGTTCTTGTGCCTGTCTCACATATAGACCCATCAGTATAGATATGGATATCTTGACTGTTTCCGTTGAGCCCGCCTTCAGCCCATCCTTTCCTGATAAGAAAGGTGTAGGCTTCATTTTCCCGGCAAGAAGGTTGCAGTTTCTTGTCCGCATTTTACGTTTAACCTGAGTTCTGATATAATTTACCTAATGCTGCCAGGTTCTTTACAATTGGGAGACTGGACCCTGTTTTCCAGAACATTTAGGCGGCTAGCTGTTAGCGCTGCTGGCTTAATATCATGGATGACTTGACTTTTGGGGTCCTACTTTCAATATATTCTCTCCTGAGCTGAGGTTTTTTATTAAGGATTATATTTAGTAGAATAGGAGAGTGATATAATGTTACGTCTTTTCAACAATTTTTTGTTATATAAAAAAATAAAATATTTTATTTAAACTTTTTATTGTTCTAAAGATATAAATTTGAAGAAGAATTTCTAAAAATTTCAAAGGAAAATATACATAACTTCGTCATTGTGACGAAAATGTTTTTCCTCGTTGACAGTAGAACTTATGAACTGATCAACCAAAATGAAAAACAAAACATTGTGCTCCAGTTATTAAGATAGAAGGAAAATTAAAAAAAATTGGCTTTTTGGCAGAATTTTTGAAAAAAAAGTTTTTTTTTAATGGTTTCGGTTGAAAAAAAATCAATCTTTTGTTGAATTACTAGTAAATTCTATCTGGAAGATCTGTTTAATATTTCGGTCGGTTTAGTAACTTTCGCGAACTTTTGACGACAGACTTTGAAAACACAGTTTCCAGAAAAGCGCGTTTGAAGTTTAATGCTGCGCAAAGCCTACATTCCTTGAGCGTGCACCTTTTAAAAGCTGTATCTACGAAACTTTTATCGACTTGAAAATTTAGGAAATATTCTCGAGATGTTGTAGAAATTACATGAATTCACTACTTAAGTCCTCTTACTGGAGCGCAGCAACTGATGAACCTAACTTGAAAATACAAAAACAGTAATTTTGTAACCACTGAAGCGATTTTCGGCTCAGCTGATGTTTTACCAACAAATAGAGTGGCCAACAGCTGCCTCCAAGCAAATTTTTTTTTTTCATGTCAAGAATACACTCCCTGTCGAGGGGCGATTGCAATTAGAAAAGTTAATTTTCAACAATTTTGGATGTAAGTCGAATCAAGACTCGAACCCTAGCCTTCCGCATTACAGTATGAAATGCTAAACACTGTGCTATTGCGGCTGCCAAAATATTATAGCCTCGGTATTAAGGCACCTAAGTGGTATGTGGTATGTGATATGTTGTTGTTGGGAACTTCGTATCGCTTCCACATCCACCGTATACTCCAAATTTGCCTACCAGCGTATACTGGGAACTCAGAAAATATCCAACGGTGGGTAATTTCGTTCGAATAAAGCGGTTACATCACTAAAGCTCAGCCAAAAGTAACATCGTTCTACAAAATTCTGGAATAATTGTGTAGATATTGATGAAAATATCACAGTAATTGACATATTATAATCGCTGAAGCGATTTTCAGTGCAGTTCCTTCTTCAATTTGTGCGTCTTGTTGCAGATTTATAAGAAACTTTGAATTCATGCTAAAAACACACTGAAGGAACGACTGTAATTATAATTTTTTTAATTAATTTTCCATAATTTTGCATATTAGTCTGATTAGAATATGAACGCATGACCCTCCGCATGGTAGCACGCACGGCCAACTACTTGGTATAAAGTCTGATGGGTCTATTTTTTCTATTATGGGTACTACTTACATACTTCAGAGCGAAATTAAATGTTATTTTGTGTTCATGAAATGTCAAAAAAGAAAAAAAAATTCACCAAATTATTTAAATTTGAGCAATATGTATTTATACATATTAATAATTATACTTTTTATATATTTTTATTTATTCTCGAGCCATAATTTTATTAATTCTCGTTTAAATTGTCTATGACACTTTTTTGTCGATATTATAGGCAGAGCTGTTTAAATGCAAAAATACATATGTATGTGGATTAATAAGAGTATTGAGAACTAATTAATTTAAAAACAAAAGTATGTAAGGGAACTGTGTTTGCAGTTCAGTTTAATTAAGTAACGATTTACGCCTTTTGCTTCAATTCAAAAAGGGGTTTATGTAAATACAATATATTATATATATTATATTTATGTATATATATACATACAATATATAATTTTTTTTTGTTTGTTTATGAGGTATTTTAGTTAGCTACACCTTAATTACTATTTTTTCTAAGCAACTACATATTAGGGTGTGCCATAATAAGCCTATGGCATTGATGGTTTCAAATTAATATTTAGTGAGAAAAATGTCCTTAAAAACCAGAATTTTCTAACGCCTTGGGAAGGTGAGCGCTTAGAGGCAGACAGGCTCAGCGCTTATAACTTCTTTGGGGCACTTTTCACGAGAATTTTTTATTTTTTTTTTAAATTACAACTATTAAAAAGAAAAATATTTTGCGGAAATTTTAGCAAATAAAATATAAAAAAAAAAATCAGCCTAAAAAAGAAATTGTTTAGTTTTTTATTTTCGTTCGTCCAAATTCTATTTTTTTTTTGCACTCTCTGGTTGTACTCAACAAACGCAACGATATCATTCCGTTCGCTAACAAAAAAAAGCAACTCAACGAAAGGAAATCGTTTGCGTTTAAACCGCAAAAACTCATCGTTAACGTTATTTTTAAATTGGCTGCTTTTCAAATGATTTAACAGCGCACTTTACTTTTAACTTTTAACATTTTAACTGTTAACATTGACGACAGCTTTTCGTTTCGGCTAAAAACGAAAAAAAAACTTATTTCGATAACTGTTTTAACGTTAATAATATTACCAAATGTTTCAACCGATGCACAGCCCACATGATTTTATTTTATTTCTTTTTTCACTTCGGCAGATCCCGTCATGAGTTATGCTGTCCATGCAGACGCAGCTTTTTGCCACAGGTCATTGGAAATCACACAGTCGCAATGACGGAGATTTGAATATTTTTCATTGTATTATATATCTTGTATATCTTTAAGGCATTATATAGTTTGTATAAAATATTTTACTTATTGTATAAAAAAAAGTGCCAAAAATAAAACTTTTTTCCCCAGAATATAACCCAAACGAAATTGATATTTCATCCGATTTTTTTTTCTTAAGGGGTTACATCTAGTTAGAATTTTCAAAAAATCGATTTCTTTAAATTTCATATTCGTGACGTACATGTCTTCAAGTAAATACTCTGAAAATAACAAGTTGATCCGACTGTTATTTTGGCACATCTGTAACGACGCGTCAGAGCATTTGAAAGCGCTTTTGAAACTTTAACCTCGTTTTTCTCAAAACTATGTTTTTCAAGTCGGTGACCAAGATTTCTCGGGAACGGCTTAACCGATTAGTCTCAAATTTTTACACAGGCTTTTGAGCAATATTTTCTAGTACTTAATCAAAGCTTTTCCATTACTAATGAAAAGTTTTTTTTTTTAATACGCAATTCAAGACCAAAATTATGGAGAAAAATTGAATTTTTTTTTTAAAAGCCGTCATTTTGTCAATTAAAAGTTGTTGGCTTATTCCATCGATTAATCACAAGATTATACATTGGTTTAATGATTCGATTTTTTCATTTCGATTTTTTCATTTCAGATGATTCACTTCAGAAATATATACAATGATCACCGCAAAACGCCTGTTTTGGGAGGGGTCCCTGGAGATCTGCTGTAGCGGCTTCAAAAACAATTATTTTTATAAATACAAAATTTCTAACTACTCTTCAAAGGTGCCATAATATGTGTTCAAATGCTCAAAATAATAAAGCTAAAAGTTTCCTCGTGAAAAATGTTTGAAAAACCTCTTTTTTTAGGTCTCCTAACTAGATGTAACCCCTTAAAAAATCGAATTTTTTTCGGTAAATAATTTCACTTTAAGCCAAATATGTGTTAGTATATTTTTTTTTGGCTCACTTAATATGTATCTAGATAGTTTCAAACAATTTCTATGGATATTCTTCTGCTAATTTACACCAAAGCAAAATTATTAACTTAACTTAAAATATGTGTGTAAGTACAATTATTGTATATACTTTTATGAAAACTTACACTACACATACATACATACGTAAGTGAAGTCTGTTCGTAGTATAAATGTTGATTGCTTCAACTGCTGTAACTATAATTATGCTAAATATATTTAACTATTTAATGTACTATTTTCCAATACACCGTCGATTAGAATACGTGTATGTTCCGCTTCAGTAGTTGTGGCTACTGTAGCGTCTGAAGTTATAGTCGACGCTGTCGTCACATCCGCACGAAATTCGGCAGCAAGTTCATCGAGATCAGTAGCATTATCACCAGCATCAACATTCAAATCAACACTTGCATCGACATCATGCCTATTATGTGCATCGGGTGTGCGAGCGTTTAGGTTTAGGTCATTTGAATCGTCAGCAATCTCGTCATCATTATCAGAGAAATTCTTTATATCACTTTTAGCAGAAATTTCCTCCTTCAATGGATTAAATGTGTTTAGTTGCAATGCATCGCTACTGTTTGCAACAGTTGAAACTGCAGCAGCAGCAGCAGCAGCAGCATCAACAGCAATAGCAACAGCTGCTGCAACATTATTACACTCTGCCAACGCCTCATTATTACTATCTGTGCCAACACTTCTACATTCACCGCCATCATCATTGCCGTTACCGTCATCGTTGCCGACTGCTGCTTCTCCTATTACTTCTTCCATAATATCTTCATTAGCTGTAAACGGTTTTGGTGATAAAAATGGTAAGAAGAAAGACCAAAAAGAAAGCAAAAGAAAAACGCGTGCGTTGGCAAGTTTTAAAAATTTGATTTTTTTTTTTCGAATTTCTTTATACACGTATTTATAATGTATTTTTTATTATTTCTAATTTTTTATTTTTATTTAATTTTTAATTTTTTTTGTTTGAAAGGCAGCAGCGCTTGTTGGTGATTGGTGGCGTATGTTGTATGGGGCGAATGTTGTGGCATGTGGTGAAGTGGTGGTGAACGACGGATAGATAAATGAGCGTTATATGATTTGTTGCCTATTTTATATGTATGCATGGCATGTACATATGTATATACATATGTATAAATAATGAGTGTCAAAATATAGAGTAATTAAAGTAATATAGAAATCACAACTAATATTTAAAGATATCAAGAGAATAAGTAACCACCATTATAATAAAAATAAAAATAACCAGAAAAAAGTACTGTCTTCGGCCATGCCGAAGTCTTTATACCTTTCACGATCAGATCAAATTTATGGTATTACACTTTAGGATTAAATATAAATTCCCATAACTGAACAAAACGATTGTATGGGGGTATATAAATAGATACATAGTTAACCGATTTCGATGATTTCCAGTGTGAATGTATGTATATTCGTGTGTATAAAACCGAATTTCATACTAGTATTATATATGCTTTTTCGACGGAGTATTGATTAAAAACTCATTTCTGAAAAAATCAGTGCTATATCAGAGCTTTTTTTTATAGCTGTCCGACTTCTATATGTTTCAGTATCAGTGTGTAAGTAATTAATTTTATATGTTTATGATTTTCTTTATGACGGATATGTGACCAAAAATCTGATTTCTGAGAAAATCGCTTATATGGGGACTATATCGTATAGTTTTGCGATTTCGATGATTCTCGGTGACAGTGTTTATTTGTATATTCGTATGTAGAATACAAAATTTCTTGCGCTTAGATGCTTTTTTGACGGATGTAGGCCCCAAAACTTCTTATCTGAACAAATTATATGTATGGGAACTATATTATATAATCGTCCGATTTCGATGATTTTCGGTGACAGTTTTTATTTCCTGTTACGACTTTATAATACCACAATTAAAGCTCCTAGATACTTTTTTGGCGGAGTTTTGACCAAAGCTTTATATCTTTAGAAATCGGTCATATATATATATTATAGTGCTCTGTACGCTACTGACAAATATCGTTTAAATGTACCAGTGCATCTGTGTACCAAGTTTGGTTGAAATATCTCAAAAGCTATAGGGCTACTTTGCGTACAAACAGACAGACAGGCGAGCATAGCTAAATCAGTATAAATTTTGTTGGATTCATTTCTTTTCCTTCTGATACCCTCAAACCAAAGTTAATACACCATAACAGAATATTTGAAAAACAAATTTTAAACAATAAATAAAGTATTAAAAATATAAAGTATAAATACACGTACATAAATACATACATTAGTGCAAATAAAGCTTTGAAATTTCATAGTAATGCCACTCTCTATGCTGATGATAATGCAATTGTTGATGTCTATTAATGGTTGAAATTTAAAAGCCAAACAAAAAAATTTTATTTGTTAATATTTGATATATTCGCAAATTTTGATGCTGAATGAAACTCGATGCAAATGTTGTGATCAATGTGCTCAGATGCGTTGTAAAAACAATGAATTCGTATACATAATGGCATCATATATTCATATATAAGTACATAAACATGATTGAACAAATCATATTTAAAGTTTTTAATTACATAATAGTTCCTAATAGGTGAATGTAAACCAAAAATGTGAAATATGATATAATAATAAAATTTAAGAGCGTAATTAAAAAATACGCATTACTATTTTTTATATATTATAAAAATTAGTAAGCGTTTTATTTATTCAAATATACTTATATATATATATACTTATATATATATATATATATATATATATATATATATGCAGCGATGGTCTATATACATATAATTGGAACTCTGCAACTTTTTATTTCAGGTCAGAAATACACTGAGAGGGCTTGACATTCCCTGCCGAGAGGCCGATTGTACTTAGAAAAATTTATTTTTGATAATTTTGAATCCAACTATGCGACCAACACTGCATACTTTCAGAAAATTCATATTAGCTTAAATATAGTATGTATACATACATATATTGCATGCATTGTATAGTACTTCGCACTCACCTTTTATGGACAATCTTCTTTTAGCAGCATGACCACGCGACTCAGTGCCAGCTGCATTATTTACAACGGCCGCACTATTGCCGCGTTGTAAGCGCTCCGTATTTTGTGCCTCTTTTCTTTCATGCTTTGCATCGCGTTCATTTGTCGTCGATGTCACTGTCGCCGATGTAGTGCTGCTTCTTCTACTACTACTACTACTAGTACTAGTGTCTCCACGTCGTTCACGTTTATCAATTACTGATGTATTACTGCTTAAACTACTTGCACTGACGTTGGCTCGTGCATCTTGATCATCATCTATCTGGGCAGCGGTTTTTTTAGCAACACCTTTACTACCGCTGCCATTAGCCAGCTTTTCTGGCGTGCCAACACCATTGAGACTATTTTGAGGATGCATACTGGCACGTTTGACCGCGGTAGCTGAACGTTTTGCGGGTGGTTGCATTGATTTACTTTCTGAATTTTTACCACCACTTGTCGGTGTGTTACCAACAACAGCGCTTAATGTATCACTACTATTAGAAATGGCGGATGGTTGTTTTTGTGGTGATTTGAGCTTTTGTTCATCTTGCTTATGTATGCCGACATCCAGCCAATATTTTAATTGTGACTCACGTTGTTTGGACATCATCTCCTGACCCTCGGGATATTTACTTAGCATTCCCTGGAGTTTTTGAACAGTCTTATAAACAGTTTCCGGTGCGACGAGACCATAATCGAATAGTGAACACATATGTAAGATAAAGTTGCGGTAAAGATTTTTACGTATAATCTCATAGCCATTCGTATCTAAAAACATCTCACAAGCTAGTGGTAATTGACAGTCCCCAACGTAGCCATGTTTCATTACATGCAAATTCCAAAGTTTCATCAATTCTTTCTCGCCCTCATTGACATCAGAGAACTCGTCAATCATTTGTATGGTCTTTTGACGCAACCAAAGTGGATCACTTTCGCCCTCTGAATCGATATCTAATTCTTTGGGATGTACAGGCAGGCAAGTCTCCGTATGATGATATAATCTATTGGTGTAGAAAAAAATGTCATTATTTCATAAATTACTGATTATTTACAATAAATTTCTATTACTAACCTATTATGACCAGTAATGTATGGGCGCTGATTGCTTAAATCATCTTCATCCAGCTCCAAAAACTCATCCAGACAAGTTTTTTGCCTACGCGGACGGCAAACTAATAAATTTGTTACCGTTGTGCGACGCACTGGACCACAAGTACGTGCAAATGAACAGCCTGATGGGCCAGCTAAATCATATGGTGAGCCGGCGTACGAACCATCATACGAATCGTTTATTGTAACATCGATACGTGCACCACTGCCAGCCGGTTGATAGGTGAAATTAAATCTCGCATGACACAATTTTAAATGCTTCAACAGCGCATACAAACGCAAGCAGTCCAGACCACACCATGGACATATTACCTCTTGTGTGTATTCAGTTTGTTGGCGCGTATTGTTGCTATACAAAAAATTATAAACTATTTGTATTTTCTCTGCTTTTGCAGGAGCTAAAGCAAGACCATTCTTGCTATCACTACCACCACCATTGCCTTTAACGCAATTATTATTGTGATTTACATGCCGTTCCTCCATATTGGCATTCTGATTGACACTACCATTTAATGACATTTCAATACCGTTACACAGGCTTTGCGGCTTATCATTTGTATCATTTTTTATACCAGCAAAATCACCATAAAGATGTACATCCTTTGCTTCAATACTGCTTGGCATTTCATTGGCTGACCATGTTAAACGAAATTTAAGAGTTGGGAACTGATTGAATACATCAAATTTCATCGAGAGTGGAATGTAGTTATCCGGCAATGTCTCCCAGGTACGTTTCTTTGGTGAAAAAGATTTAATGCTCATCGAATTAAGTTCCTGCATTGCTGCCTCATAATCCCCCTCTGGTATAAAGCAGATATTCTTTTCAAATACAATTAATTCGCAGCCATAAATTTTTGTACTGGTTTTACCGCGTTTGCAAGGCGTCTCTGAAGAAAAACGGATATTTGTTAGTGTTTGCAAAAAAAAAGGAAAAAAAAGTAAAATAAGTTGCTATGAACGACGAAATTATAAAAAAAAAATATATATATAGATATATCATGGCTGAAAAAAAACCATGGCATTTCACTTCTTTCTTCTCTTTGTTTAATCACTAAATGACCCCTGTCGGCACTTCTTCAAATCATTGGAAATAATCTATGCATGCATCCAAACTCGACTCACCTCCATTTTCAATATTTTCATCATTTGATTTGCTATCACCCTTCGGCAAGACTTTAATTCGAAACAAAAGTTTGTAGATTGTATGTTGGTCACCCAATGGACGCATTGATTGTATCGGAATGCTAATAGCAGAGAAACGGCTAATATCATCATGTGGATTATACACAACATCTGAACTGTAGCTCTAGAAATATACATTAATTCATCCATTGTGATTTGGAAGCCATTTTTGTAATGTAAATTATATATCTACCATTATTTCTTGAAAATCGGAGGTACTATCTTTGCGTTTGTTCTTTGTTATTTTATACAGAGTTGCTTCAACACAAACGGCATCACCAGCATTCCACCATTGATCGCTACAACTGCTTTTATCAAACAAGCCATTATACATAATATTCAGATATTTATTCGATACAGATTCGGTTTTTTGAGTTATATGTTGCAAGATTGAATTAACTTTGAATGAGGTGCGCTTTTTATTATTGCGTGACATGCGATCCTTCATGTAACTCAGTGTGCGATTTAAAAATATTGGCTGAAAATGGAAATTTCAACTTTTAGTAAATACAAACGCAAACTTTGAAGTTTTTTTACATACACTGGTTCCATGACGATTGCGTAAAAAACGATAAATCTGTGTAGGTTCTAAAATAAAATATACTTTAAATAATTCTTGGTACTTTTTTAAGCAATCAGCTTACTCTCAAAAGCCTGTAGAAAAAGTTCTTGTTCTTGTTGATGGCCATTCAGCTTCACATTATCGACGTTGGAAGTTGCAGTATTTGCGGTGACTATGTTTGAAGCTGCAGTAGCAGTAGCAGCTGTTGCCGACGCTGGACCACCCCCATTACCAGCATTTATGTTTCCATTAGAAACAGTACTTACAGCAGCTACCGGCGCTGTTGTTGCAGTATCCTTTTCGCGTTTTTTAGTCGGAGCCATTCTCCGCTTATTAAAATCTTTTCTTCCAAAATGCACACTATTGACTTTTGTAATATGAGTAGCACCGTGCGTTAAATCACAATCTCAATTTTCTGCTGCTTCACTGATGTCTGCTCTTTTCGACGCTATGTTTGAGGAAGCAGAGGACGCCAACACACTCTTCAAAATATAACTTTGGATTATTTGTGCAATTGATCTAAATTTTTAATTTCATTAAAACCATAAGTTTGTACTTATATCAAATAAAATAATTAATATTTATAAAATTTTATAGCTTTTCCACAATTTCCTATTGTAAATGAACGGGTATCGGCGCGAAATTTTCACACACAAGGCGTACAGGCTCTTCCTCTTCTTAATTATTATAGTTCACAGTAAGATTAGAAAAAAAGTAATTTGTTGGTGTGATTACATTAATTAGATTTTCTTAACATTACAATTAATTAGTCAATTTAATTACTTTCTATTTTGAGAAAATTTAAAAAATAGTATTATTTGTGTTTAATAAATTAAATGTTTTATTTTTACAAAGAAAATGGAACCTAATTCCAAGAAATGAAGTTATATTAGTTTTAAGCAAACATAAGCTCTTCTACAAGCCTGAAGGTCTATCCATAGGTTGAGAAAATATTAAACGCATAACACATATTGGAGTAGTGGCTGAACCAAATATTATTTACATACATAAACATTAGTTATTAATTGTGAGATAATTATTTCAAAAATAATATTTTATGTATTTTGCAGCGCCTGACAACCCTGGGTGGAAAGCATTACGTTTGCCGTAATTAAAATTCCAAGGAAAAGTAGTTTAAATAATTTGTTATACCATTAAATACCCAAAATTTCAACGAAAATATTACGTTTTCATTCGACTTTTCCTTAAACCGGTGCCAAAATCAAATTTCGGCTTGCGTGATCTGGTCTAGCAGGTTCATAGCATTTAAAATATTGTCAAAATAAATTCGCTTCAATTTTGACATTATCAGAAATTCGCTGTTTCAAAAACTCGTGTGTTCTGCATTTGTTCTTTATTCACAACTGTTTTAAAAATACCAATTTGAAAGAGATATATCGTGATTTGTATAACGAAATGGACAAGAACAGCGCAGCTTTAGTAAAGAAATTGCAGTCTGAGTTAGATGCCTACCAAAACCTGCAGAAAAGTAAGTTTCCGTCCTCTGCAATGACACATTCCTACTTACAAATTAACATATGCTAACATGCACATATGTATGTATGCATATGATTAATTTAGGCACTGTTTAGTAAACTTTTGCAAATGTTTACTTGTTTTGTGCAAACTTTAAAATTAAAATACCTTCAGCATTTGATTTTGAAACATTACTAAAATTTTAATATTCAGTACGTTTAAGAGCACATCTTAAATGATGGTAGTTAGTTAATCTGGAGTCTAAGCTTGTTTGTTACATTGTAGTTATTACTCCCATTCCATTCACTACACCTTTCGAATTATTTTTCTTATCTTATTATGGACTTAAATATTTTATCACATTCCAGCCTGCGTAAAACTTGTCAAACAACGTACTCTCCTCGAATCTCAGCTGAATGAGAACAAATGTGTTTTGGATGAGTTAAATCTTCTTGGTCCTGATAATAAAGTTTACAAATTATATGGTCCTGTTTTGGTCAAACAAGACTTGGAAGAATCACGACAGAATGTTGGCAAGCGGATTGAATACATTTCAAAAGAATTAAAAGGTTCCAATGACACTTTGGAAAACATGGAAAAGGATATGACAAAACATCGAGAAACTGTTCAAAAGCTACAGCAGCAATACCAAGTTGCGGCGGCAATGAAATAAAAGAATACACTATGTCGTCTTTAGCATTATTATAGCCAACGACTCAGATGAATGTAAAAAATACGCAATTCATATTTCTTAAATATAATGGTCAATGTTTTGATTTATAATTTAATTTAAGAACTTTATTTAATCATTAAAACATAAACATAAGCTCGTCCACTATTTTACTTCATTTATTACTGAATCTCGGGAAGAAATGGGACGAGCCTACCAGGAAGCACTTTTTGTTTGGCAATTGAAAACATAAAAATAAATAAAATTGTGTTTCAATGAGAAGCTTGAAGAATTTGCCAAAAAAAGTGCTTGATGACGAACTCCGGCAAAACTGTCAACGGTCAGCTGTACATTGGCCGAAGCGAATCTAACAGGGCGAAGTTACTTAAAGCAGATTAATCTTGTTTCGTTCAGTGGGCGTAGACACTTTCTAAATTATTTTTGGGGTAAATTTCATTTGATTTTCTACTTATAAATGTGAAATTATTCAAAATTTTAATTTTTAGTTTTTTTAATTGTGCGAAAAAGTGTATAATGGACAGCTTGTGAATTTTTATAAGTCTTGATTTTGACAACACCTACGCGGAAGCGAAAACATATAACACGGTAATTGTATTTGTTATTCTGCTCTCACCTTTATGGACTCGCCTTGACATGTTTGTGTTTTGACCATTGAACTAATCAACGGGAATAAACCATTTGCATTGTTTGCACATCTGTTTTAAACGGGTACACGTCATTTACAAATTATAGAAAATAGTTTGAAAGCTGCCACTAATTTCAAAAATGCTTTCTTACCTTTCACTACTTTATTACTGTTCAATGAAATATATCCAATATTTTAATTATATATAAATATAAAGCACATATGTAGTATAAATCTATGGTTTTAAAAAATTTGATATCTTAAAGTGATGTCGGACACAACAATTAAGTGATTCCGAATTGCTTGTCAAAAAGAAAAATTTCAAAATTTGTTATCAAGTTAATTTCTCAAATATCTTTGGCAACACCTTCAAGACATAAAAAGGTATAGTCTAGAAAAAGCAAATAGATATTAAATTGGAAATACAAGCATTACAATCGTTTCCACTTCCTCCTTTGTAGAGATATTTTTATTTATAGCTTAAATAGAGTTTTCTCTAATAAATTTAGGATTTATTTATTTTTATTTATTGTTTAAGGGTTCTTTGAAAAATTACACACCCTATTAAATTTATTTTATATCCGATATGGCAAGGTTTCAATTTGACGTATATGGAAAATTTAGAATTTTTTGCTATTATTTGATTGTGCCACGCAAAGACTTCCCAAAAGTGTACAAAAATTTGGAAAATTTCTATTAATTCAGCATTGACTTTCATACATAACAAAAAATATAAAAAATAATATTCATATCTAAATACTTTTAACAGAACATACATTTGTCCAACAAGGAAAATGGGATCAAGTCATAGTGTAGAGGTTCCTGGTGGTGGCACAGAAGGTTATCATGTACTAAAAGTACAAGATAATTCACCTGGTCAAAAGGCAGGCTTAGAGGCCTTTTTCGATTTCATTGTCGCCATTGCCGGTACTCGGCTTGATCAGGATAATGATATGCTAAAGGAACTATTGCGTCAAAATGTTGATAAGCCTGTGCGATTAACGGTATACTCAAGTAAAACCCAAACAGTGCGCGAGCAAATGTTGACACCAAGTAAAAACTGGGGTGGCCAAGGCTTGTTAGGTGTGAGCATACGATTTTGTTCTTTTGAAGGAGCCAATGAGAATGTATGGCACATACTGGAAGTACATCCCAATTCACCGGCAGAAATAGCAGGCCTACGTGCTTATTCCGACTACGTTATCGGTGCCGATGCCATAAGGCATGAAAATGATGATTTATTTACATTGATTGAATCACACGAACAACAGCCACTCAAAATGTATGTATACAACATTGATGACGACGCATGTCGTGAGGTAACGATTAAGCCAAATTCAAATTGGGGTGGTGAGGGTGCATTGGGCTGTGGAATAGGTTATGGATATTTACATAGAATACCTGTTCAAGCATCAGTTGCAAAGACACCAACAACAATTGAACCGGTAAACACACCAAATACTTTGGCAAACCCTATACCACCAACTACGCAAGCAACAGCGACACCAACTATTGCACCAACGCTGCCTTATGTCCCCCCTTTAACGAATACATTTAAACAACAGCAAGCAACAAATGTGTCAGCAGAAGCATCAAATGGAGCAGTGAGCGCTGATTCAACAGTAACAACTTCTCAGCAACAGCCAAGTGTTTTCCAAACATACTTTAATCCTGATGCAACAACAAATACTTTAGCGCCCATTAGCATTGAAGATAAGGTTAGTGGTGCGATAAGTGCATCAACAGGTGCTGAGCATAGTAATGTGGAAGCTAATGTACCCAATGTAACTTCTACTACTGGCGATTTGTTTCCATCATCCGCTGCTGCGACAAACCCATTACAGTCACAATTCTACGTTTCGAATGTTCTACCACCATCAAACTTATTCATACCCGGTTCAAATGAGCAAACAACCCTTGCCGCACCAGTTAATACAACTATTGGCGCTGCACAGTTGCCATATCCGCATGCTACATTACCAGCAAATGCACCTACCCCATACGTCTCCACGGCTACCGTACCAATGTATTCGATGGCAACACAACAGCAACAGCAATATATGACTGCACCAATGACATTATCATACCCAGCTGCACATACTGTACCGACTTATCCACAAGTACAACCACCGGCCGGTCTTTATCCATCGCAACCAACACCTTTACCACCACAAATGTATGCACATCAAGCGTCAGCAACCGAATCGTCGAATGCTAACATTATAAGTGGTACAACTGTTTCTGCTCCACCTGCAAGCTTACCATCAACAACCATGCCCCATGTACAAGCTATCCAACAGACATTTGCCAATTAAGTGCAGACAGAAACATATGCAGTTGTAATCACTTTACTTCTTTATACTTTATCTCCTTCTATTGTATGCATATATATATGAATGTATGTATGTATATATATGTTTTATGCTTTTCGTTTATTGTTTACTATGATTAAATGATTTAGTAATGTTATATTAAATTTACGTATATTGTGCAAAATCGATTCGAAATCATGAAAAATATTTTATTTAAATAGAAAGAATATATATGTACTCCAATAGTATATGTATATAGATGTTTTATTTAATCTCTAAGATTTTTGAAAAAGTCACTCCGGTATCTATCAAATAACACCGTCGCCTACCATGGGAAATGAGCTTTAAATGAAAGCTCTTGCCGCCGCAGTACTTCACTTTCAACTTTGTTATTACCTAGCAACACAGTTTATTTAATTTGTAAAAAAAAAAAAATAATAATCGATCAAACAAAGCACGAAAAATAACGTTATATTTTAAGTCGCAGTGAAAGATTTTATAAATTAAATAGCAATGTCCAATTTTGTATATCCGGAAGAACTCTCATATTTTATTGAAAGCATACGCCCATTTCAATTGGTCGATATTGGTAGCTCAAAATGGTTAGACGTTCATGAGATGATAATAAAATTAAGTCAACAGGCAATACTCGAAGCATGCGAGCATCGTGAAGAGGAGGTTAAGGAATTCCTTATATCGCGTGACAAACTGAAGGTTTGTGATTTCGTTTAATTATTATTATTCTGGTTAATTAATTATAATTGGCAGGTTCTTATACATGAAGCGTACGGTGTATTTTTATGGAAAACGCGAGTTTTACCACATCTAATAGAGATTGATCCCAATCCTCAAGCAACCTTCCTTATTTATACAGTGCTTTTCCATGAAGGCGCTGTAATTTCGCTATTAGATACGGCTCTATTTCATTTAAGCGCGTGTGAGGCTTTGCAGGATTCGGCAATTGATTTGGTCGATTATTGTGCACTGGCAGTTGCGCAAGTGGTCGGTTTAGTTAGGTATTGGCACCATAATATTGTACAATTTACTGATATTTTGTTAAATACAAATTTTGTTTAAATAACAAAAATAGCATGGGTTACAACGAAAACCAGTCTAAGGTTGACGTTGATGAGGCAGTTTTATCAGAATTAGAACGTCAAAAACGCGATTTGATATTTAAGATTGGTATGCGTTGTATTTCCATTCTATGCTATCTGGCAGAGCACGCTGATGCGATACCGTTAAGCGCTTCACGTCGAATGATCGTAACACATGATGTTCCCTGGTTAATGGCTGATGTACTACAATTTCGACCGTGGCAACGGCGTACCAATAAAGGCATCCAACGTTTTATAGGTATATGGTCAATGTAATGAGATTTATTGATAAATCAAGTTTCTTTTTTTTTTAAGATGAAAAGTGGGTAGCAGTAGAGGCGACGGAAGTTACGAAGATATGCAAACATGAGGCACAATGTTGGTTTTGCATGCGACAATTACTATTCAACCAGTCATTAACGATATCGTATGAAATGAACGAGGAACGCAGAAAGCATCTATCTAAAGTGAGAGTACATATTGCGGATTAAAAAACCAATTAAAGCTAAAAAATTTTTAAAATTTAATAATCATACTTCCAGTGTCAAGCTTTACTTCAAGAAACAATACTAGACCAACTGCCACCTTTAGTAGAACTTAAGCAGTATCTTTGTCACTTAAGTGTGTCTGGTAACCCGAGCGAGGTGAAACTAAAATCCAATTTAGTACTCGAAGAATTACCGGAAATACGAGAGAAACTTATAGCTGAGGTGGAACAAATTGGTGGTTTTCCAGTTGTAGCACAAAAACAAGAAGAAATATTTTTATTCAATGATAAGAATAAAATTATAGAAATAGCAAAACGTTTAAACGCAGCGTATAATACGGATTTGTTGGCCGAAATCGAAGGTAAAGCTGCAGAATCAGAAAAAGCAAACACCGCTAAAAATGATGTCGGCACCAATAAATGCAGAAAATGCTCTACTAACGCTGTAAAGAAATGTGCCAATTGCAAAACTACTTATTATTGTTCCAGGTAGGATATTTAATTGAATTTAGAGCAAGTACTTGTGTTACTAATAAACTTATTTCACAGGATATGTCAACTAGACGACTGGGCGGATCATAAAAACATTTGTAAACAAAACTAAGCACACCACGCGGAAAATATTCACCCACTCAAAATGTATTCATATTCTATAAAAGATTTGTTATTTCACTTTGTATTTTTTATTTATAAAAGAACTTCAGCTGAATAAAAACAACACGGTTCTTGTAATTCGTGTTTTAACTGCTTTCACAAATCACCTTATTTGTTGTTGTAAGTTATTTAAAACTAGTCCACACACATAGCGCGTTTAACTATTTTGACGCAGATGTTCTTTCACAACATCCAAAGCAGGTGTCTCCTCACCGAAGTCTTTAATGACCACAACGGCACAACCGCTGACCTTACGTGGCTTACCCTCTTTGTCGATCTTGCACAGACCAGACCATTCACCCAACTTCTTGTGAGAATCCACACGGATGAGTGGGATTTGATGTTCGTGGCAGAGTGCAGTTACAAGTTTCTTATACAAATCAACATCCATTGAATCTGCAAGGATGCACAGAACAGCTTGACGTCTGAAAATAAAAAACGAATAAATGACTATAAATTAAAAATAAAATATCGACAAAAACTCACTTATCCAAAGCCTTGCAAGCTTGGTGAATACCATGCACCAAACCATCAGCAATAAGTGACTTCTTCAGAACTTCTTGTAAAGCGGTATTGATGTCCATTTTGTCACCAATAACTGGTGCGGCGGAGGGCACATCACTAAAACGAAATTATGAGTAAAGCATTTAAAATCATTCAAAAGTTTTCAGGAAACATATATTACGTCAAATTTAATAAGAGATGGCTAAATTACCAAATAATGAACTATTGTTTCACTATGTATAAGAACTAGAACAAAACTTTTAGCACTTCCATATAAACAATAAATTTGCACTTACACATCAACGTCAGCCATTGTTAACTAAATGTGTCGTCTATGCACTGAAATAAAATAACAAAAATTGCTTATTGAGTATGATGTTCGTCATTAAATTAAATAAAATTTGATATTTTATGTGAGTAAAAATTTCATTCCTTCCGTACCTTTTTGACAACCGGAAAGAAAGGATGCATTGGTTCAGCAACCAACTTCATTTAGTTGAAATGTCAAATTATACTTCAATGGTGTGTTGTTCCACCAAGGGTTAATCGATCGTTGCCATAGTGACGATTTCCGATGTAAAATAGCAGAAAAGTTAAAACTTATCCTTAGCGGTTTTGAAAGCTTCAGGAATTTAGAAGATCCTTTAGACTTCTGATATTAGAAGAAATTTTCGTCTGATGTGTGTGCTCTGTAAAACTCTTGTTCGGGGTTATATATGCGGAGAGTGTTTTTCTATCAATTAACTCTGGCATTTTGTAGAAGCTAACTTTCTATCTCATGTTAATTCAGCAAATTGAACAGTAGATTTTGCATTCCTTTCCGCATTGACTTTATGCTGATATATCATATTTTTCCAGAAACTGTACAAACTTCTCTTTTTAGAAATGCTTCAGATTTCCGTATGCTTTAAGCTTGTTTCTTGCAAGTCATCACTGGGACTAGCTCATAAGGACTCTGTATATGATTTCAAAATAAGAAGAACACAGTTTTCAGCGTCTATTTATTTAAAGCTTTAGTATGAAGCTGGCCCCATATCCGAATTTTAATTGCCTAGTTGCAATTCACCACCGCTTTTGCAATTGCTGATCCGATTACCTTTCATTTTATTGTTCGTTCTTAAAAAAAAAATAATAATAATAAAACATCTGGCAGTGTTAGTTTCGCAGCACGTTTGTAATTTGACCTATTTGTCGGCCAAAGTTTTTTAATATTGTTTATATCTGATGAAAACAAATCTTTCTGTGTTTAACATTTAAATCAGTTTCCCAGATATTTAAGAATGCCACCACCATCTGCGAGCCGCAAATTTATGTACCCTGAGCAGTCAGTGCCCTATACTGTGTATGCTAAACGAGAACATCCCGATGATATTTTCGCCAAACTTGATAAACCAAATGAGTTGAAATTGGAAGAAAGGCCCACATGTATGTATAATACATATATACTTATTCCTTTACGATTGTGAATTTAATTGTTACAAATTCATTCTAGTTTTAAAAGTGGGCGCGCTTGAAACAGTCAAAGGTTCGGCCTACATGGAATATGGGAAAACAAAGGTAATGGCATCTATAGAACCGCCACGTGAGTTGGGCAAGCAAACAAAGAAAATGTGAGTAATAACTGAAAGCAATAAATGTTAAACCATTGTTTAAGAAATTTGTAGAGGTACCCTAGGTATAGTTACATGTACCCTGAAATATGCACCATTTGCGGTTAAGGACCCAGCCTGTATACCAAGGAAAGAAACTTCTATGGCTTTGGCACTAAAAAAAGCATTGGAACCTGTCATTTGTCGACATGAGTTTCCTTACTTTCAGTTGGAAATTAAAGTTATCATTTTAGACGATGACGGATGTGCGCTTAGTACGGCAATTAATTGTTGTGGTGCGGCTTTGGTCGATGCTGGAATAGCAACATATGACCTTATCACAGCTTCAACGGTTTGCAAGTACAAAAATGTAGAATTCATAAATCCAAGTGGTATGTTAAAATATTCTTCTTTCATATTATGATTTTAATTATAATATATTTGATTAGCTGTTATTGAACAATTGGTTTCAACAATAAGTGAATCTGGAGACGATGATGAGGAGCATGGCATCGTTGTTACAGCTAGCCTGGCGGCAGTAGACCAAATTACGGAATGTTTTCAAAAAGGATATTTAAAACCAGAAACGCTAAAAGAACTTACGGAACACACATTGGCAATTAATGAACGAATATTGGACACAGTGCGCTTTGTGTTATATAACAAAGTCAAACAACAATTGCGAAAAGATAAGGATGGTGCGGAAATGAGTGATACCATCAATGCCGTTACTGACCTCGGTATTGAGGAGTGAAGAAATAAACATTAAGTCGATTTCCAAATTGAAAATATTTATTTGTATTACAAAAAAAATCAAACATTTTATCGAAATGTGCATAACGAATTTTGTTCTAAGAGCTAATGTATACAATAATTTAGTTATCTGCGGATGCCTCTAATACTGCTCCAGAATAAGCCAGATCCCAGTAATGCTCTACTTGATGCTTCTGAAAGAACTCGCGAGCCATCTTTTCCATAGGAAATACCTTAAATTTAATTTCTCCGAAATGACGACGCTGACTAGTGCCCTCCCACACTAACACACATGTGTTGGGAATATCCTGACCGTCGGGTCCTTTTACCATATCCTCTTCCCACTTTATGCGATGCTGCATAAGTCTCCGATATTTTTTCTGCTGCTTTGGTCCACCCTCAACAACTACAACACAACAATCACGAAAAAGCACAACCGTTCCTGTCATGTGCAATTGTTTGGCATTCGTCTCTACCTTAAATTTTTTACTAGCGTTGTCTTGCAAGTCACGTATACGATATACACTAACATTGACACCACATGAGGTATCTTCTTTGATTTTGCGAATCTTCTTCTCACTCTTCTGTTCCGCTGTCAGTTTTCGGGCATTGTTGGCATCCTCATGCGCCTTTTGACGTTTTGCCATTTGTTCACGAACATGGGCCTCTATTTTAGTTGGATCCTGTACAGCTTCAGTACCAAGAACTCGCATTAAATTTGAAATACGCAATTTCGGTTCTGGTGGGCCTACAAGTCCTAATCGTATTTTTTCTTGCTCTTCTTTCCATGCCTCTCGGCGATTCTGACGGCGCAACTTTTTACGTTCCTTCTTTGTGAGGAAAACAGGCAAATAAACTGGTTTAAGTGGCTCATCTGCGTATAAGAAGGTTTTTAAAAAAAAAAAAAAAATTCCAATGATTTATTTAAAAATATTATATTTAACTTGATAACAAACTTACTTGGAGGTTTCATTTGAGTTGGATGTTCAATAAGATTGGTGATGGCCGAGTGTCGAATACTAATCTTTCCCACCTCATCCATAGTATTCATGTCTTGAGCAAGTATGACAGAATCCCACCATTCCATAGCTGGCACATCATCTGGGGTATCTTGCTTAGGTGCAATTAGAGCTAACTTTGTTGCAGAGCTAATACCAGTTTTTCGTGCAATTTGAGAAATCTCATTTTGTAGCTTTTCTAATTGGGCCTTCATACGCATACGTTCAGCAAGTTGCTGAAACTTACCCGGTTCGTGGAAGCGCAATGAACGCTTTGTTCGTAAAGTTGGTTTTTGAGCAATGCGATCATCGAAGAACTTTAATGATTCCTCTTGTTGCGTATGACGTTCGGACTGAACTTGACTCTTGTTGAAAACCTCACGCTTTTTCGCTCGTATATTTGCCTTTAAAGTTGGTGTCAGCGTGGGTATATTAATCGTTCTACCGCTTTTGTCAATCGTACGCCCGTCTTCATCCAAAATTAAGGGTTTGGGTCGATCTTGCACCTGTGGTGGTTGAATTAGATTAGATAACTTCGCCCGTATTTGTGCCTGTAATTCAGCGATTTTTTTCGCTTTCTCTGAATCTTCTGGCACAGTTTTCTTGGCAAGCGCTTGTGTAGCTAGAGCAACAGGTAAGCCAATCTGAGGCACAGACGCGAGTATAGGATCTTTTGCTTTTAAATTGTTAAGAGCCCGTTTTCTCTCTTCTATTTCACGTTGAGCGTTAACCATCATGAGTTTTATTTGAGTTGAATTGAGGCCAGTTGTGGACACTGCAGGCGCCGCAACGGTTGCAGCATTTATACTTGCTGCGGCCATTGAGGCCGCAACTAAAGGCGTTAATTCTGGCGTTGTTTTCACATCACTACTTTTTTCCTTCATATCAAATCGAGATTTCTTTGGCACATCTGCACCCGTTTCAGCACCACCATTCCGTTTCTTACCCTTACGACGATATTCATCTAATTTGTCTTGTAATTTATCAGTTAGCTTAGAACTTTGTTTCGCGTCCAAGAACTTTTCCAATTTCTCTGCAATGCGTCGTCGTTCATATCCATTGTGCAAACAGTGCTCGATCGTGCTTATGACCCGCTCCTCATCGCTGCCACCACCAGTAATACCCTTTGCCAATGTCGCGATGTCAGTGTGTAATTCATCGATCTCCTTTCGCGTATAATAGGACATAATTCGCAATTAATTTGTTCTGAAAAATTTTTAAATACTATTTACCAAATTTGCATAAAGTTTTATCTGGATTAACAATGTTTTTATGCAATAAAGTTCCTAAAACGTTGAGAATCGTATCCAAAACTTTCGATGACTTTCGTCTGTCTTCTGTTCGATAATTTTGATGACGTTTTGTAAGGCTGCCATATGCTCCTTTTCATTGCGGTTGCAATATGAAAACATGTTGAGCATAAAGTTGGATACACATCAATTTGATTAAAGCAAGTGTAAAATAAACTATTAAAACTTATTTGAAAATCTGTCTGTACAAATTTATAGTTTTTTAAACGATTTTCAAAGAGGAAAAAGTAATTTATTTATTTTCAGATATACGTGTACATACAAACATATATAATTCTGCTTCTAATTCTCTGACTGACGATTCATTATCGGTTATTATCCTGAAATTTGTGGTGTGCCCAGTACGATTTTTAAACAAATTGAGAGATCTACAGTGTTTATCGGCTGTTTTAGATTTTACGCAAGGCTGGAAACGCTTTTAGTTGGCCGAAGTTAAGTTTTTTTTTTAATTTTGGATAAAGCTATATCAACATCAACTAATAAGATATCTTAAGGATGGAATATCCATGTAAAGTGGCCTCGCACTGCATCTCGAGTTTATAAGATCACATGAAATAATTAAACCATGTGAATTAAGATATATCAGTAACGTAATGTTGTACATCTGTTGTAATTCCAATTTACTTGCATTTACCATCTTCAAATGTAAGGTAACTCTTCGAAATACAGCCCTGAATTTGCTGCATCAAATTGGCAACATGGTTTGTTGAAGCGGCTTCGTGAGTGAATTCTGACGTGCGTCAATTTGCAGTGCTGGTTTTTTGTAAATTTAACTAGTTTTTTGTGAATTAATCAATTGAAATTTGTAAATATTCGTGAAAATGGCTTCTGAAGATGAGAATGATGATACCTTTCAAGGTGAGTCCAATTTTTTTAGATCTAAATTTATTAAAGAAAAGCAGCGAAAAAAGTTTTGTGGTCATTCTCGGCGGCGTCGACGTCGACGCGCACGAGAGCGCAACGAAAGCGATGGCGCTGAAATCGGCAATCGTCTGCTTTCTTGTGCGCCGCGTTTTGGATGGTTTCTGTGTATTACTGCCAACTTGTTAATGTATTGCCGCCAAATTTACTCTTGGGCCTTGGCATACAGCATAAAAGACATTTCTCCATTTATTTAGGTGATAGTGCAAAAAGCAAAAAAAATTATTTGGAGTAAATACTTTATTTTTATTTTTTATTCTGGTTTATTGCATTTTGCCTTACGCTTTCGCCATTTTCATAAGTTTTAAAATCACATATGTATGTTGGTCTCTCTCGGACACATTCTTTTTATATTCCTTTATTAGGCCCGCAGCATATGTTAATGTAAGTTTGGTGTGCTCTTTTTATTATATGTGCATCTAAAATAGCAATGAAACGTATTGAAATTGTAACGTAAGGTAATCAAAACACAAATTTAATATTAGGGAGCGTCAAAATAAAGAATGACGGTTATTATTCTTGATTATGTTATAAATTTTCATGTTTAAAAATAACAATTTATACATAAGTTATTTCGTATGATTAATTGCAAGGTAAGTACAAAAACGAAATGATATTTTCATCCATGTAATGCTGGTTATATGTAATATTTAAGCAGGTTGATTATTTTTAAATAATTTTAAAACTCTCCTTCGCTTCGTGTTTCAAATAGAAAAAAATATGTGGGGGGGGTATGTTTATGTACATTTAATCCAGAAGTAAAGTGCTTTGCGAATACTTGTGTAATCACAGAGGTAGCTTTCTTCAAGGGGTGGGTTTTAAGTCACTTGTGTATGAAATTTCTATCCTATTTAAATACTAAGTTTTTCAAGCAATTATCATTTGAAATATTTGATTTTCTTGAACTGAGACTGTTGATATCATAATTTTTTAATATTTACACAATTTTTAATATTATCCTAGGATACTTTTTTAATTATCAACGGTTCGAACTAGAGATTAAGTTTTTTAGAAATTGAACAACGATTACTTCCCTATATCTTACAATAAGCAAAAATTTAAGAGAACCAGTAAATAATTTTTAAAAATTAATTGGAGACTTCTGTTTGCTGCTCGTATTTCTCAAAAGCGTGAAAATATCACACAAACTTTTCACACTTCTTGATAGCTATAGCTCTACACTTGGTTGAATTAGACTGATCTTGCTTGCTCCTAAGCGCGTTTAATATTCCCGCTACAACAACCAGAAAACCATATTACTGTTTGTGCGATTTTCAGGTGAAATTTTCTGATCAGCGTTTTGTTAAAAAATACTGGGTATCAAACTGTTTTTTCGATAGAGCGTGATATCGGGATTTTTAGATGAACTTGAATACATTAAACTTTAACATAACATTTAAATAATTTCTTTAACATTAAACTTAGGATATTTTTTTTATTTACGTAATTATACTGTTGAATATTCATCAAACACTTCTGCCAACACAACGACGTGTGATGGGGAGAACGCTTTCCGCTAAAATACCGAAAAAATTGTACAAGTTTCGTATCTAGTTATCTTGTTCCCCCTAATACAAATGGATGACCCTAATATATTTTCAGTCCTCGCCTTGTTTCATTACTTAGTGTTGACGACGAGACATTCCAACATATAGGAAGTGGTGGAATTTGAAACATTTCGTTTCGATTACCAATGATAACAATTTAATATTTGAAATGGTAAACAATTCAATATTTGTGGAATGGAACGAATCTCTTTCAGAAGCTAATTTTGAACAATGCGTTAAATTGAAATGGAACTACTAATACCAATACATATATGCATAGTGTTGTTGGGCTGTCATTTGTTGAACAGACAGATGGTTCTCTTTTGGTTGGTCTTATTTCCTATAAATTTAACATGAATTTGCAAAATACACATACATATGTCATAATAGTATATTAAAACGTCAAAATTGAAGGTTTTTATTACCAGTTAGACACATACATATGTACGCTGGTGGCAGACTTTGGCACGTTCTCTAAATATTTACCACTTAAAAGTATTAGATTTAAATGATTAGGCTAAGGTAGCGAAGATTTTCTTACGTTTCTTAATGTCGAAACGCATTCATACGTATGCATGATATACATATTCGATACTACTTAATTAGCGTATAGTTTCCGCCGTCCTCATATTTAGCTGTCAATTTTACATGCTGTTGCATATCATACGTATATATGAATATACCTGTTACGTTTTGGTATGACGGGGGAAAATCCAAGAAAATTTTGCAACACAATAATGTTGGCTCTTTTACTCGCCTTTGTTAGTAAAGCCCCACTTACACGACAATCAATTTGCCCTCCTTCTTGTTCGATTCAAGATAGTCGCGTGAAATACTCGTGCATCTTCTTTTGTTCCATTTTTTTTTTCGAATTTTTCTTATTAGTGTGGCGTCAATTCACTAATTACGATTATACAAGATTAATTGTATATTTCTTTTGCTGTGAATAGTCTTTTATATGATTCTTTGACTTTATGATATTAGTGGCAATCAGGGAGTTGTATTTTTTTTTTTTGAATTCCCTAGCACTTTGTTTCATTTGTTCCTGCGATATTTTGCGTTCCATATGCAACAGCATCCCCTAGTAATCGGTGGTGGAGTAATGAGCGAGTATGAGTGAGTGAACCGTAGTGAGTGAAGTGGACCGGACCGCCGTGAGAATTGTTCGATTCATTGTTGCTTGGACGTGGCAGCCATGACGTGATTTTTAACTTTGACTTGGGAAATTGATTGTGAAAATATTTAGATATTCCTTTAAAAATTGCGTTTTAATTCGCGTAAATAACTTGATAAGGTGTGTAAAGGTGCTTAACATTAATTGCTAGTGAAAATTTTGTGCTAACTGAACAGTGGAGTGTTAAAATAAAATTATGTGGAAGAAAAAAACCTATAGAAAGGATTTGCATTATCTAAAAAGATCTCTTTATGAAGTTCTTCTGCCTAATGATGTAGTAAAAAAAAAGATATCTTAGTAAAACACTAAACGCTAAATAAAATTTGATTAAAATTTTATAAAAAATGTACATTACAAAAATTTTCTTCGTATTAATTTCCTACTCTTGTCGCTCGCTCGTTATAGCTATATGCATTCGTATTCGCTAATATCGTTGCCGTCTCGTTCCTGCTAGTGTTTCTCATACCATCACTTTAACGTATTGCCGTGGTCGCCGTCGTTGACAAAGTCGAAGCAGTTGAAGTTCGCGTCGCAGTCGCTAACATATATGTGCTGTAGTGATGTGTATAGTTGTTGTCACCCTGCTTATATATATATATATATATGTATACATAATATACATGCATATATGTGTTTTCTCGCGTTTCGTGCGAAATTGCTCGTCGTCTCGTATCTCACATCGTTTCGCCTTTCATTGTACGTCCCTCGATTGTCTGTTTCTCTTGAAACTTCTATTTCAACTGCTACGAGAAAAAGTATTATCGAAATATAGATATATCCTAGATTAAAAACTTTTACATTATTCGTTGTATAATTTAAATGATAATTTGATACCTAGCGACTTAGCTTTTCATATCTGAACATAATGTAGATATGTGTGAATATGATATATTGTAGTAAGAATTAAGTAGATTTTTACCGATTTCACCATTGCATGTGTAGGGGTAGAAATGAACCAGACAGAGTAGCTCATATGAACGTCTCATACATAACTTTAAATTTTAGAGTAATGTTTTAATTGATTTACTTTAAATTTAAATTTCAATAGTTATAAACAAAATGGCATACGCATATTGTTCCCTATTCGTTTTTTTTTTGTTTTTACCTATTTTCTATGTGAGGTTCTTCTAGTAAGTGAAACGATGAGTAAAATTTTTGAAAAAATCACATTTTTACGTAGTTTGATTAGATTTTCTCTCGAAAATGCACTATTACCATTTCTTGAAGAGATTTCTTATTAGTACATGCTGGCTTTACAAACATTATTTTTATACTGTGTAAAACTTTTCCCGAACGAACCTTTTATTACACATAAGGCTTGCATTTATGAAATCATTTTCATAGTAAGTCATAAAGACTTGATTTTTAGATTCCTGTCCGAGATTTGATTTCATGGCTTGGAAGCTAAAAATAATTTTGATAATAAAAAGAAACCAATAAACCTATGTACGCGTCATATTAATGAAACTAGAAAAACTAGAGTATTTTCGAAGTCTGTATGCAAGTTAGACAACCAATTCAGTCCTTGTTATTTTATGAAACGGTATTATTTATTTCAAAATCTAACCACTTGAACGAACTCGGTTTTGCAAACCGCCGTCTAACTAATATATGGATCTCGTTTCCCGAAATGATAACGTCCTTATTTTCAGATTTTTTTTATGACTTTTGTGTTTCTTGGTTTCTCAAATGACGGTAATCCTCTTTTGAAAGGAAATTAAAATGCATAGTTAAGAAATGTGTCACTATGTTTTCCTAAAAATAAATACATCCATACTATATGTAGGTGCATGCATATGTAATTGTGGCTTATTCTTATTGTAAATTTCAATGATTCATATATTCATTTGATTTTATTAAACATGATTGTTTCGTTTTATTGAACAACAGCGATCACTTAAAAACCCTAAAAGAACCAAGAAGATCTCTTATGCATGCGTTTTAATTTGGTTTCCAATAATCATTAAGCATTTTTAATTTTTTTGTACAATAGATGCATATTAATATCTATAATTTAGAGTTTATAACAAATATTTAATAATAACCTGAAGAGGTCGTACAATACGGATCAAATTTCAAAAAGTTTGTTTTAGGCAGAGGCCTAAAATTGGATAAATTCTCGAACCCCTAATCCGTAGGAGTACTTAGAACGACGATGAAAACACCCGCTGAAGTAGAGATTGAAAAGAGAAATTAGGCACCGAAAACGTTTCAAGAACTCCTTGAATCCCTACGCAGAAAATCTTTGTTTTAAAATCTTGACATAGCGAATTATTTTTCGAATTTTATCGCAAAATTAAAAGCGTTAAGATAAGTAAGCAAGCTGCAGATAATTTTAAGGAAGTTTTTGTATAGGTTATGATGTTTGTCAAAAAAGCGATATTTTCAAATAGTCTAGGTAGCAAAACTGCATTTGGAGTTTATTTTCGAAAGCGTAATGAACAAAATGAGTTACTATGACATACCGGAAAATGATATTATTACATTATTGGTTGATATATTTAATATTTTGCCTTTCTTTAATTTTTAAAAATGTGTTAATGGCGAGTTTAATGGAAAACTTGAAAGAATTTCAATTAGCGTTTTTTGAAATTCAAACTGATTTGTCATAAATTATTTCATGCGGAGGTGGTAGATAAGCAATTAGGGGTCACAGCGCTTACAGGTTAAGAATCTTAATAATTAATTTTTTTTCTTTATACATATGTGTGTACATATGCAAGTGTACGTGCAAGATTATTTTTTTTTTTTTTGCCAAGTAAAACACGTAAGAGAAGGAGAAGAGCAAAATATGTGAAAAGTAATATAAAAATATGTAGATATGTATGTATGTATGTGCATACATACATATGCAATAAATTAAAATAAAATGCAATCAGCGGAAAAAAGACATACTAAAAATAAAAAATTTCATTTTGAATTGGTAAAAATTATAAATTACTGGTACGCAGGGACAGAAAATAAAATAAATACTCACATGCTCTTGTTGTTGTGTTCAATGCTACTTGTTGGTATTGCTGACTTTGGTATGGTATCTATAATAACGCTGGTGGGATATACACATGTACATGCATACATACATTCATCTGTATATACGCTAGGCATAATTTGTATTCGCTGAATTAAAAAATATATATACATAAATACATGCATACATATATAAAAATATAAAATTATATAGCAACAGCGTGTTGCAAAGTAAAGTAAAGCATATGAAACGAAAAGCACATGAATAAAATAAGTTAAGAAAGAAGTAAAAAAAAAAAAAAAACGAAGAAACTGTTGGAAATAAAAACGCAAAGAAGTGAAAGTATTGTTTGTGCGACGGCGACGGTGCAGCATTCACAAACAAAAATTCGTCTATACATTAAAACTGGCGTCTATACGTTCATTTGTCGTCAGTCTGTTGGTTCGTTCGTTCGTTCATTCGTTGGTTGGAATGTGTGTGCAAGTATGCAATCAACTAGCAACAACAAAAATAACACATTCGACCCAGTCCGAATAACGTGAGTAAATTGCTCGTCGGATTGTCAGTCAATTAGTTGTTGTATTTTTTTTTTTTTTTTTTTTTTGTCATACACTTCTATTAGTCTGTGTTCGCCAAGATTTTTTCTTTCTCTATGATTCGATAGAAGCGTTGGCTGCTCGCTTTGCTGAGTGTGTGGATTCTCTTGATCGCTCAGCAATTTCTTCTTTTTTTTTTTTTTTTTTTGTTGTTCCCTGTCCTCTTCTTGAGCAAAAATTTTCCAATTGCAAATGATTTTTGCCCAATGAATTCATCATTCATTATTGACAACTTGGCGAATTTAACACAATTTGAGGTTAAGCAAATGCAATAGTATTTGCTGCGCTTATCCCCAAAATCCCCAATAAAAAAAAATTTAAAAAAATAGGTGGTTCCAACTTGGCCTGTTAATCTCCACTCATTAGTCACAGTACACATTAGACTTAATGAAAAAGTGGTTCTTTACCTTCAAGCTTAATACGTTTTAAAACCTACCAACACCGCCACTAAGCGTTTAATTAGGAGAAGAACGCTAAGAGTGTTGAAAGAAATAATAACCTACAAGCTTTAGCAGAATATCGCCCTTATAATCGTGACAGCAAAACTACAATATATCGCTGGAGCATCAATTGCACAGCAAAGCATCTATGCTAGGTGTTAAGAAGCATAATACTAAGCTGGCAGAGGGGCATTTACTTGAAGCCAAGCACATTACTCAAGCACGTCAATAAGTGAGTACTCCACGATTCCATTTGAGCACCACTACCTTTGAACAGCGTTCTAGGAATCCAATTACAGAAGAAGAGCTCGAGCTGCTTTGAGATACCATAGTATCACTGACACAATAGAGATGGATTCCTTCCGACTTCCTTAATTCCTTCTTATGCAGATTTGATCCCAACATACAACGTTTATACTGTAGGCAACGAGACTCCACACGATACAAACCACCTCTTTGAATGATCATTAAAACCTCAGCTAGCCTCCCCTTCCCTCTGGTCCGAACCCGTCGAAGCAGCTCATTTCCTGCACTTTCGATGACCTCGATGATTTAGATTTGTTTTGTCGACGCTTAAGCGGGGTTCGAGAACCGCTACAACAACAATAGCAATTGGTTCATACCAGAGGGAAACGTATGTTAGATAGATGACATATACTAACCCACCTCTAGCCGGGGGGAGTCACTGAATGCAGGACATCCGGGTGGAGTACATTCTATGAAGATTCGTAAAACATGGGCTGTGCTTATTTGTCAAATATTAGTTTTTTTTTTTGTCTTATAGTTCTTTTTTCACAAAATCACACGATATTGCTTTGTTTATATTTATATGTATTTGATTGATTAGGCGAAATATTGCCCAAAGCATGCTCTTATCAGTGCAAAAATATTTAAATAGATTAGTCGGCGCACAAATAACGGTTGCAATTTATGTACATAAATGTATGGAGGCTCTAAATTTGCCATGTTTTTTTTTTTGATAAATTATTATTTTTTTTTTTTGGTTTGGTTGTGGTTTGCATGCCAGTCCGGTAGTTTATTGTAGATTTGTTACTACTTTTATGCACACACACATACATACGCATATGTACGATTATTGGGGCATAGGTGTACTCA